TGGAAACCCAACAGCAAATTACTCAGAAATGAAAAAGTACGCTCCCCTCCATCCAAGTACGCGCTCATGGGAAGTTGCAAGAGGAAATATAGCAATTGAAAAGATCATTGGAAAAGGTGCCTTTGGTCAAGTCGCCCAAGGAAAAGCTATAAACCTTCACGGGAGAGAGGAATCAATAACTGTAGCCCTAAAGATGCTGAAAGGTACTACATTAATTGTCCAAATAACGTTTTTGTGTGGATATTGCTTAAGTCTTACCGGAAATTTGTCCCTTGTTTCAGGTAACGCCACAGACACAGAGGGAAAAGATTTGCTTCAGTGCTTGAAGTCATGAAGAAACTCAAGCCCCATCCCCACGTCATCAAATTGCTGAAATCAGGTGTTAAAATAAAATTAATAACTGCTTAAGGAGGCTTGAAAGGGTTTTCCACAATTAACGTCAGATACCCAATAGTAAAAGATATCAGGACTGTCGGTCTTAACATTTGGGCAACGCATTAACATCTTTTTAAAACTATTGTAAAGGCATTTTTTAAGGGTGTTCGTCAGGCCTCATCTATTGTCACGGGAAAAGTACAGCGGTGCAAAAAGACCCTTTATCAAGAAAACATCTAGGACAACTTGAGCTATTCAGGAAAATGCTGTTGCAAGATGTAAAAAAAAAAAGATGGTCACTAGATTTTTTTACTATTTTCACAAATGCGTAGTTATTAATATAATTAATGCACAAATAATCCGAGTTGGTCACCGAGCTAATTTTGGAGATATTAGCTAATCAACTTAGCAAGCTTTGTTTCCAGTTTTCGCAATTTTTAGTTCACACTTTTATATCCAATCACGCGTCTGAGCGATACTGCTTACTCGAAGACTCATTTTTGCCAAGACAAGTCCGTGCGATCGCGTAGGCGGAGAAGAAAGCGTTTTTCTTTTGTTCTTGGTTAGTGAATGACAAATATCTCATTTAGAGTTTATAGCAGAAGAGTGGAGATAAGATTTATGAGGGATTTGACGTCTTCCAGAGTGTCAAAAAGGAGCATACGAAATCGAAACCAAGGGAAGTGACGGGTTCATGGCTTGTGGAAGAATAATTTTGCCGGCCAAACTTTTACTTTTCTCGAAGCTATTTCTGTAAGAAATATTTCTCTTTTTATTGCGCAAATAGCCACATTCAGCTTTTGCAAGCAAATAGGCTAGGCTCAGCGTTGTTTAATTGGATTGATTTCGGCCGCCATTGTTGTTTATGACACGCAGTTGCGCGGGAGGATCGCGCATTGGATACATTTATTTGGACCCATTCTCCCCCGGCATATAAACCCTCTCGAGCCTCCTTAATTGATATACGTCTCTCATTCAATTTGGGGTATATTTTCATAATAGTTAAATTCCGTTAGTAGTGTAGCTTTGTTTTGGAACAATCTAAAATGCTTACTACCGTTATCAATTTTGAAAGATTATCCACCGCGACCTTGCCGCCCGTAGCATCTTGGTTGGAGAGCTAGAGCAATGTAAGGTGACCGACTTCGGAATGGCTCGAGATGTGTGCCAGGAAAATATCTACGAATTGAAGTCAAAGGTTTCTTTTCTAAATATAACGTGTTATCTGTTTTCATTATAACATGTTGTATGCTGGATTAATACCGTTATCTATCAGTTTTGATGTATGATATTTAAAAATAAAACCAAAGCAAGGGAAATCAAAGTAACCAATCAGAAGTACTGGAAATTTTAAAACGAGCTAATGAGAGCTAAAAGTACATCCACATACATTTTATTTTACATTTAGGAACCTCTTGCGCTGGGTGTACGAGTGACCAGGACGCAATTGTTTTTCATTTTTGTACCTGATTGTTTAAGAGAGTGGCGCGAACGTTTTTGGTCCAATCACAGCTTGTAGTATAAAAAAACTAAGGTATTCTAGGTTTTTTTTACCCTAAGTTGACCCTGTAATTCTCAGTTTATTGAGAGCAAAGGTAAAACTTATCACGGTACATTAGTTTCTCGACGGAAATTTTGGTCAATAGTTGGATCAAACCAACACCTTTAGGGAGAATGTTATATTTTTGAAGGGGGTTCAGAGTCCGTTGTGCACTGATGTCACAACCGCAAAAAAACCAATCCAACCCGTAATTAGTCTCCAACCAATAGCACTTTTACGTCATCACAAACAGTCGGTTTACGTTCGATGATCATCGCATCATAAGTCTTCGTGCTTATACTTTCATTTTCGGTTGCTCTCCTTATCCAAATATCGAAGGACGAAAAATGGCTTATTTACTTGCTCAGGGTTACAGGATGCCCAAACCACGGCACGTGGACAAAAAGCTGCAAAGCCATGGATCCTTCCACTGATTTAATTATCTATGTAATTTACTTTAAAATGTTTCGATTTTTTTTTTCATTACCTCGATCACTATTTGGCAACGAGATTTTGTTTTCATTTTATAAGGGTTTGATGAGCGAAACGCCCCAAGTGAAGGTTACTCGAGAATTGCCTTTCTATGAGTCCTTCGGAAAAAAAAAAAAAAAAAAATGCGCGGCTTCTGATTGGACGCATCATTTTCCTCACATGTGAAAAAAGTGATAAGTGCCATTTGATTGGCTCTAGTGTTCTTCGACCGGCTTGGAAATGAAAGTTTATTTCGCGCCTTCTCAGCGTGTAAATCCTAGTACTTTCTTCAAATTTATTTTATTCAACTTATATAAAGCACAGGTCCAACCCTTCCAACCCATTGAGCTCTGTTGAATATATTAATCTTTAAATACCTATTTTCTAGTTACAAGAAAATGCAAAAATGCTGGCTAGAGAATCTTGATGATCGTCCAACTTTTGAAAATCTTTGAAGAAAATGGAAAATGGACATCAGGTAAAACATGTAGAAAAAAATTTATGCAAGGCTTGATCATCTTTTCATATAGTTATTTAAATTAATTAATTCAATTTTGTTTCTTCCTCTCAGAGACTTTTCAACATGCAACAATACGACGCCATCCTTTACGCGAATATGGATTGAAGTTTTGTTCCAGAACCACGGAAACAACTCTTATCACCACAAGCGGGAACCGTTACTGGAGAATGTAAATTTTAAAACAAGACTTGCGCTAATGCTAGAAGAAGTTTCTTTTAAAATGCCACTGATAGCTAAGGGAAGCACTATATTAAGGTCGAATTCAAGCAAGCAGTTGTAGTTAAATTGATATTCGTAGTAAGTAAGTTAAGATAGACTTTAACTTGCTTTATAATTATTATGGCAACTAGTCAATGCTAAGTTTGACAAATGGTCTATAGTCATTAGATCATTTACCGTGAGAGCTGTATTAATGCGATCCACTTTTCCTTGTCACCCTTTCTGAACACAAACACATTGGAAATCCCTTACACAAGGTCAACGACATCATCGAATAACATATTTTTTCTGCAATACAAAATGAAACAAAGCAAAGAAAGAAAGAAACTTTCTCTCATTTGCACACAACATCTGATGATGAAATAGTAATAAAGCAAGCTTTGAATCGGCTAAGGATGATGTGGCTAAATTTCCGATCTCGTAGATTAACAATACTATCTATAGTAGAACGAACCATGTATGATTTAATCGCATTGTAAGCAAGGTGCATCCAGAAATTCAAGAAAGGTTAAACAAGCTCTTTCCCAAGTAATGACCCACGGTCCAATACTCTAACCGCGATCCAGGAAGACTGTATCGAGCACGAGGTAGAGGCTTTTAGGTAAAAGTTGTTGGAAATTTGCTTCGAAATGAACAATTTTTTTAACTACTGTTCATTTGAATTTTCTTCTCTGAACAAAAAACAAACAAATAAGCAAACAAACCTAAATAACTCGTTGTAAGGAGAGACATACAAAAGAAGTAAAATCTCATAACCTCGTCTTTACAAAGAGGTCACATATTCAGGTAGAACTTTAATAATATTGGCCTTTGTTTAAAGCTAAATTGAGGAGCATGACGTTAGAAAAAAATTGACAACACAAACACATAGAGAGAATTTTTTAATTCTAATCAGCGTTGAATTCCATTCACAAATTATGGCTGGAGGACAAGGTGCTGTAAACGTTTCATTGTTAGACCGTCTGGGAATTTATTTGCCTTTTTTGATTGATTTTCTTTTATTTTATTTCTTTTATTTATTTCTCTTCTTTTTTTCTCTTATTTCTCTTCAAGAATACCGTATTCTTACAAACAAAGTGATAAAAAAATCCAAATTGAATATGTACAGGATCCAAAGATTATAAAGTTCAAATCATACAGGAAGAAAAATATGCTGAACAGCTGTTAATTTGCAGGTAAAGATAACTATTTCTAGAATGAATATGTTTACAAGCTTAGTCTTTGGAACATTGTCACGAGCTCATAAATCATTGTAGTAAAACAATGGTAAAAGTACCATCTTAGAAAAAAAAGAACAAAACATGCGGTTTTTTTTTGAAAAGCCTCAATTAAATTTCCTTGTGACCTTTCAATTTTTCTGCGAAACGCAAATTTATCCATGCATAGCGAATCAATATTAACGTGGTTATTCGAGTTCACTGCTTCGGAGAGAAAGCCATAAGCCAGGATGAAAACAACAGTGACGCGTACTCCTTAAAATGCACGATCTTTGTCTCTTTCTATTTTTTTTCCATATTTAGTGACTGAATGCGTCAGTTTGCGTTGCGAAAGTTTCTGCGGTTGAGTCAATTTAAAATAATTGTAACTCCATTGAATTCTGCCGCACGGGTGGGCTCAAACTTTCGACGAATAAATCTCATGCCTGGTTCCCTCACCGACCATGATCTGACTTTTTGTTTCCAAAATTGAGTTGTTACGAACTGGGGTTCTTTCCCATTTGATTGCATTTTTTGTTCCCCTGATCAAAATCTGCTTCAGTTAAAAGGAATCAAATTAAACTTCCGCAACAGAAAACAATGAAATATACCAGCTTTGTATTTAATCCGATCTGAATATGCATAATCACGCACTGTAAAATAAATCTTTGTATTTCAAAACAGGAACTCAGTGATATCGGCCGTTTTGTACTTTCGAACTTCCTATAAAGCAATTTCCACATTTCTCTTCATCAGGAGAGCGATAAACCTCATGTGATCATCATGTCTGCGCTCTTTGTGGTTATGGCATGGACGTTAACCATAACAGCGTTGTCTGGAAACTCTTTCGTGATATTTCTGATCCTATTCAGAAAGAACCTTCGCTCACGCAAACTCAACTGGTACATCATTTCCCTTGCTATAGCGGATGCTTTAGTGGCCTTGAGTTTCTATCCTCCATTGTTTTTTTGTGATCGTTGGTCGTTCTGCCAAACAAGTATCATGAGAGCATTTCGCTGGATCTTCATTTATTCCTCAGTATGCAATTTGTGCGCCATGACAGCTGACCGTTACCTTGCCATCGTCATACCCATGTACCACAGAGTCAAGGTATCGGACAGGACTGTGGCCATTTCGATCGCGATGTCATGGCTTTTTCCTATTATTTTGCGTGGTGTTGTCTTCACTCCCCTTTATTACCTGCATAAAAGGGAAGCATTCAAGTACTTTCTTCCTGTGATAGTCATAATATTTGAGGTTCTGCCGTGTTTACTCATTCTCTTCGCTGCCCTGCGAATAAGCATCGTTGCCAAAAGAGAACAAACAAAACACAAGAACAGATCGAAAGGAAAACCCAAAAAGGAGAATCGAAGAGAAGGATCAAGAGCTTTGAAGATGATTTTGATGGTCACATTTCTCTTTGTATTCTGTTACGCCTTGGAAGCTTATTACACGATGTGCAAAAATGTTTTAAAACTGTGCGACGACACTGAAATAATTCAGATGATTCGTCGGCTCATGTTGATAGCGAACTCCGCGATTAATCCATTTGTGTACACTTTCCTGAGAAGAGATATTAAGGAAGAAGTAAAGAAACTGAAATTGTCTTGTAGAAAGGAGAAACATTTTACCAGACACGAAACTGTAATCGGTTCTACGACACTCTCTACAGAGAGGGACATACGCTAAATTTGAATTTTATACTTATTGTTGGAAGGCGTTGGCTAGGAGATCTTGATATGAGAACTGACAACTATTAAGCTCTTAGTAGTCTATGGACAGCGAAAATCGCCTTAAAGTAGTCAACACTGAGTCAGCAAAGATCAATACTCACCTCCCAAGGTCCAAATTGAGTTTGCACCAAGAAACGCACATAGCTATCTACGCTCGAATCTAGATTAATAATGCCGTAAAAAGAGTGCTGTAAGTTTAGAGGATTACAGGAATTTTAAGGAAGTTGGCGCGGGTTCTTAAATATTTTTCAGTTGTAAGACTTTGGTTTACACTTGGCTCGGCCTTAACTAAGAACCTTTGCTTACAAGTCACGTTTACGGTGGATAAAAATCCAAGGTTAAAGATAAATATATGGATGAGAAATAATGGCTTTTTATCTTTATTTAAAGTTTTCAAATCAGTGAAACGCGCTAATTGTCCTTTGACATAACAATGACAACGCATTAACGTATTCGACGCATCAGGGTCAATTTTTGTCGCAGCTCTCGACAGAACGAGCCCAAATGTTCATTCCAAATCTGTTTTCTCATAAAAAACACTCGTTGTCTTTTGGATTACATAAAGTAATAAGTTGATATAAATTGTTCAGTTTAATCTAAAACGAGCATCAGGGAGTTATTGAACTCAATATAAGTAAAATATGTCCACTTAGATCAATGATCAATCTTTTGTATTCTACTTATGAGATCTGGCTTGTATTGGGCCGATAAAAATATAAATTACAGGTTTTCTGTGGCACTTATGAAACCTTTGCAATGTCATTGCTAGATCGGTCTAACTCTGAACTTTCCAATGTCCTTTAATATCTTTCTAGGATGAAAAATTAATAATCGATCGGCTGGTATTCTATTTCGAACATAGCGTCTAGCTTATTTCAATTTGAGCACTTACCGCCAAAAAGATGGTAACAGATTTATGTACATAAAATTTCTGCCTAGTTTAATTTTATTACATGGACACTTGCCGGAGACACATTTCTGACACTTGGAGGAGATGCTTTTGCTAAAGTAAGCTAATCTGATTTATCAGTTTCTCTCTTACATTCCTCATACCCTCTTTTTTTTTTACTGTGTCTATACATTTTCCTGGCAAACAGGTTGTACGGCGGCAATTTTCTGAATCTTCATTTAATCAGCACTGTATAAAGTACTTACCTTGTATCACCCTTATGTCGAAGTCCCGAATTAAATTAGTTGGTGCTTTGATGTTGTTCAATCCGGGTTTTCACTCCCTGTGAAGCCCGGTCTCAACCAGATTGAATGCATGGTGGTCAAAAGTTTCCGCTAATTCCCACAAAAAACCTCCAGTATTCAGAGTATTCAATGTTTGTTGAGAAATGCCAAGCGATTCGACGAATCATTCTGGTTTTGAAGCTAACGATTTTCCCGAGCTTTTCAGTGAATTCAAAATAATTGTAGACACGGGATTCTCTGCTTAAAACCTTTCTTGTTTGTTTTTCGTCCACCGGAAATTCGACCATAAATTTGCTTGATATTTCGAGACGAGCCTCATTGGAAATTCTCTGAAAATTTCAGACCGTCGAACGTTTAGTCCGTGAAAGCGAGTTCCTTGGCACTTAGCCATAGCCACTGCGTGTTAGATACTTTTTCAGTTCAGTGCTCTTCTCCCCAACATGCCGTCACCCATACCAAGTTACACAATTTGAATCGTTAGTCAACCATGACTAATGAATTTACTGATGAACATTATCGAGCGATAACTGAACTCGAACTCGAGAAAGAAAGCACCTATAGCTAAGGGATGGTGAATTATGTCTTTTCCCTTCGCTTAAAGCACTTACATATTTGCTTGTCTTGTGCTTCCTTATTTTCAATCTTCGTAGTAGGACTTCAAACATGTGGTGGATAAGCTATTATCGACTTTATTGGATTCTTCTGATGCAGTTGTCGGGTACGTATCCATATAACTTATTTCACGGTACAAAATGCATTTCTACTCGGTTGAGGATCAATTTTATCCATTATGTTAGGCATAATCTGCCTATTTCTTTGATTTGGTAAGCAAAATAGCTTAATTAGTGCTAGGAATATTTCTCTAAGGTTTGATAAGTGCTAAAAATATTTCACTAAGGTTTCGCATGGTTGTTTAAAATTCCATAGCAGGACAACAGCTGAGAGCAGCCATGATTGAAATTTGTGCTATGTACCTACCTGATGTTCCTAAATAAATTAAATATCTGTCGGAAAAATACGTTACAGCAAACCATTTAAACTTTTACCCAGAACTCATTAACTCAATTTCTTATTAAATCAAGGCTCAGTGACGACATTCGCAAGGCGCTCCTCGCTTCGCTCGCGCGGTTCAAAGCGCTAAACCTTCTATGATGATAAAGAATCCTTTGTGCTTTTTTGAAATATGAGGACCTAGCAAATCAATAGTTCACTTTCCAGTTTTAAATAGGTTACTAAGCTATCGTTGCTTGTGCCTTCTCTTTAGGGCTCTAATCCTTTCACATCCCAAGATTACTTAAAGTGTAATATTTAGGTCCACTTCACAGACAGGAAGCTATTCTAATCGATGGTATTTTTGGCTATGTCTACATAAAGCTTAGCGGTCTGTAATTGACAAGCGATTAACCGTGTGTTATAGTTTTTGAGGGGATTTGGAACGCACGCTGATGTGACAGATGTGTTTGATGCGATTGGTGTGGTGTGTTGATATTTGGCTTGATTACGAAAGAAATGATGATCGGTATGAGCAAAAAGCGACGGTGGAAACGAACACACAAAAGTTTCCTTGTGGTGCTGGTCGATATCTTTTAACTTGAGTGACTTTGATTATTGAGATAGATCGATCTGCCCGCAAATGGCGCGAAACTAAAATTTATATATGTGTGCACGATATGCATTTACGTGAGGAAACATATATGTTAATTATGCTCAGAGTGACGGTTAACACGTTTAAATTCTACAGCAGTCTAAAAGGAAGTTATTTGTTATGAAATATAATCATTTCGATACTCACTCATTTTTTACCTTTCGATTGACTGGACTTTTAGGAATTCTACTGCGAAAATGGACAAACAGTGCTCTTGGTAATATAAACGGTAAGTTGCCCTTTGCTCATCTGAGTTGTAGCAATAACTTTTCGTGAAATGCATAAAAGTATCATATCTTTCTTTTCTTGCTGTCAATAACGACACAAAACAAAAAGAGTAATCAGAGCTGAGGAATATCTCTGATTTTTGGGGTCAATTTCGAGAGTGACGATGTATATTCGAGTTCGTAATTGCTGTACATTCATACAGCAAAGGTCAAAGTAAAATGATTATATTTGCATGAGGCGACTATTTTGAAATCAATCTGCGGAACTGAGGTCATGTTTACAACTGGTTGTTTCGCAATGAAGTGACAAGCGTTTTGTTGGTTACTTGGGTAAACTTTCTAATTCACGTTATTTTCCCCTTCATGATTGTCATGTGCTCAATCGTTTTCTTTTTTTTATATTTGATTGTTTCATAGGTTTTCTTTCTTTTTTCTACCTTGCAGTCAGGCTAGTCGAAGGAAATTCGCCCAATAGAGGTCGTGTTGAAATCTTGCACAACGGTGTCTGGGGAACAATTTGTCATGATTATTGGGAAATGCCGGATGCTAATGTACTCTGCCGCCAGTTGGGTTTCGAAGGTGCCCTTGTAGCACTCCGTTCTGCTGCTTATGGAAAGGGAACTGGAGAGATATGGTTGGATGACGTTGATTGTAAAGGAAATGAGCCCTCAATTTTCCAGTGTGGACACAAGGGATGGGGAATTCGGAACTGTGATCATAGCCAAGATGCTAGTGTGATTTGCATTCCAATTGGTAATTTGTTAAAACTAGATGTTAGAGGAATTAATGTGAGTGCCAAATATCTCTTGCCTTCGTTAAACCAGGATGCAATACCAAAGTTCGGTGCAATATAGATTTCTCACAAAAAACGTTTTGTTCATTTGTTTGTTGAACTCCTTTGGTTAGTTCTCAGTCATACGTTTATTGAATTTCTTCGGTTAGTTCTCCGGTAGAATTGTTGTGTTATTGGACAGACATGTGACAAAAGACAAGTAAAAACCAACGCGAAACAAAAAAAATTTATTTCCACTTTGTTTTTAAATATTTTTGCAGATCTGATCTAATTTTTTTGTTTCCAACAGTTCGTTTGAGTGAAGGAGTGTTCTCCCACAAAGGTTTAGTTCAAGTTTACCACAGCAGAACGTGGGGCTGGATCTGTAATCAGGGTTGGGATAAACAAGATGCCGACGTGGTTTGTAGAGAGTTAGGTTTCACAAAGGCTTCTATGGTTTACGGCAGTTTAAAAGATAAAGGTGGTGTTATATGGATGAAAAATATTCAGTGCATTGGCAATGAAACGTCACTCGTCTTATGTGACCATGAAGACTGGAAGAAACATAGCTGCACAAATGGTCAACTCGCAGGTGTGGAGTGCAGCGTACCTGAAGGTAGGAGTATCGTATCCAAAGAATAACAAATAACATAATTATGGTATGGCTTTGAGGTTTTTTCACTTGCACCTTGATCAATGATCAAATTTGATCAAAGTTTAGTCTTGTAGCATACTTCTCCTCTAAAAAAGTATCGAAAATATCCATAAAATCCTTAAGGTACCTATTTGCAATTTTTAAAGAAAATTCCACAAATGTAGCAGCTCTCTTTTTTTATCCTGTTCGGAAAAAATTTATTTCACAGATTTGGAGGTGTGCCCTGGCTTGTAAATTCGATACTTTAACCAACTTAATCCGTTTTTATGGCAAAGGGTGTAAACAATGCAAGTGAACAGAATCATAAACTCTAACGAAAAGCGATGGCTAATTCCTTGTAGTGTTCACAACATTCGAACAGATCCGTTAGGCTTAGCAACAAAATCTTTTCAAACCAGCAAAGATCAAATGACATGAAGGGTTTCAACTTTCATATGAAGTAACTGTGGCATCTGAAAGGTAAACATTTAATATCCCCAGTAAGGTTAGTTGGCGGGACTGCCTCATATGAAGGTCGTGTCGAAGTATCCTATGATGGCAGCTGGGGAACAATTTGTCATGATTACTGGGAACTGCCAGAAGCCTCTGTTTTCTGCCGTCAGCTGGGATTCGAAGGAGCGCTACTTGCTCTTCGTTCTGCTGCTTTTGGAGAAGGGTCAGGGATCATATGGATGGATGATGTCCACTGTGCTGGAAACGAAACAGCGATAACGCAGTGTAAGCATAGGGGATGGAGAGTGACAGATTGTGATCACAGCAAAGACGCCGGTGTGATCTGCACACCGAAAGGTAAGTACACTCTAACCCTTGATATTTATAATTTTTACCTCGATTGAGCGATCCTGCTTACCCTTGACGGAGTCACAACTGCCTCTTGGTATCATCTTCCTCTATATTGATTCAATGCAAGTTTCAGCAAGTTTTTTTTGCTGTTGTTGTTGCTGTTTTTTTTTGGTTTTTAGAAATTGTACGAGGTTCTTTTTTATAGCGTTTGATCCCTGTAGAACCTTTATTAAGTGGTCAACCGGTATCGAGCGGTGACCTCGCCATACCCCGTGAGTGACACTTAATACAGGTTCGACTGTAACAAACCAAGAAAGGACCAGAAAAAACCGTGCGAATTCATTGAATCTGGTAACTACTTATAATGTAAACAGAGCTGTTGCTGTTGCGTCACGTCTACTCTGTCCATAAAATCTTTGTTTCTAGGTATGGAGAGGTTGTTAATAACCGCGGGTGATATATTTACGTTTAAAGATGCCTTAAACCCGTAGGTAATTCTTGCGTAAGCAATCTTGGAAAAGGGAGCCTTGGCCTACCTCACTCGATCGTTGCAGAATTTGGCTGTTTAATGCTCTTGTGATGTAATTTCAAAGACACGTTTGATGATGCGTACCACAATGGTAAATGAAGGTACCAGTTGCAAAAAAGAAACTAAAAAAAAGGAAAGGAGAAGACCAACAACAAAAAAAATAGACATCGCTAACAAACACCACGAAATTTTCCTTTTGGTCTTATACGGAGAGCTAGATCGCACTCAAGTCAAAATGTTTCTGTGCGGAAGAAGGGACCCTTCTTGAAGGTCTAAAATTGCAATTTTCATGCCTGGGCCGAGTTGTTCAAGGGGCGGGTAATGCTAACGGATAAATGGCTATCAAGTTGATGATTTTTAACAAAGTGTACTGCTCTAACCACGTTATCCCCCCTTGGAACATCCGGGGCCTTAAGTGAAATTATGCAATTATTTTCCAACAGTTCGTGTAGGTGGAGAAATCAATGCTACCCAAGGTCTGGTTCAGGTTTATCATAACAAGGCATGGGGATGGATTTGTAATCAGCTGTGGGACGACACGGATGCAAACGTGGTTTGTAAGGGGTTGGGGTATGAAAATGCTACACTTTTGTACAGTAACCCGGTTGATAAAGGCGGAATGATTTGGATGAATCACGTACAGTGCGATGGAAGCGAAAGATCTTTAGTCTCGTGTACACATAATGGATGGAAAGATCACAGCTGTGCAAAAGGTCAACTTGCTGGTGTGGTTTGCAGTATTCCAAAAGGTCAACATCAACTTTTAACTCCAAATATTATCAGTTTTTAATTTACGGGCTAGCGCACTCTAACTTTCTATCAAAAATTCTGCAATCTGATTGGCTACGCGACTCGCTATCTATTCTGTGATAGATAGTAGGTAAAGCGAGCTTGCAGCTGTAATCTGATGATAAGATTAGTAACTCCCGATTTTCCTTGCGATTTTTTATCATGCAACAGTTTGGGTCGACAATAGTGCCTTATGTTGTGGTGTAGTTGAAGTAGTAATCTAACATGTCAAATTAAGGTTTTTGTGATCGGTAACTATGAAATGGTGCATAGCAGTACGGTAAAATGTTGGCTCTAGTTAATTTGTATTTGTAAGCGGACTTTTAATTTGTAAGATACATAGTAAGAGTTGAGTTGACTCTTACTGCAAGATGCCTTTTTACATAGAATCTGTTACAAAGTGTTTTATCAAAATTCATGTGAGATTTCTGCAACCGCACTCAACCCAACTCCAAAGGTATTTGAATAAGTTTGAAAACTGAATTTTGGTTCAAGTAACCATAACATTTGAAGGAAAACTATTTATTGTTAAATTTATTGACAATTGGTTAATCTTTTCTTAACAGTAAGGCTTGTTAATGGAACAGCACCTTACAATGGTCGTGCAGAAATATTCTACAATGGAGAATGGGGTACAATTTGTCATGATTATTGGGACAATCCAGAAACAAATGTCTTCTGTCGTCAGCTCGGATTTGAAGGGGCAATTACAGGACTTCGCTCTGCTGCTTTTGGAAAAGGCTCTGGAATGATATGGATGGATGACATCAACTGTACCGGACAGGAGACTGCAATATCTCAGTGTGTACACAGAGGATGGAGAGTAACAGACTGTAAACACAACCAAGATGCTAGTGTGATCTGCATCCCAAAAGGTGAAATGATCATAAAAAAAATCATGTAATATTATTATTGCAGACCTTAATGGCTATAGGAAGAACGCTTACTCCTTGTGCTCTGTCGTTAATGGATAAAATTTTGTAATTTTCTTTCTCTGTAGTGGCGGTTTTGAGACCGTTTGACAAGGTGCGAATCGTCTTTGAAGATTATGAATAGCACTTGTCACCTTTCCATAAGCTCTTTGCCTCTTCCTTAGGCTAACTTTGTCCTGACTGTAAACATTTTCACATAAATCGCGTATGAGGTATAGAGGTAGCCATCTAGTCACTTTACTCGTATTCTTTAAAGTTCATCCTCCATAGATCCACTGATATTTTTCATATATGACCCCTAAATACTTTAAAGACGCATTCGCTTGGAAAATATACACTCCTATAACTTGGCTTACGAACGACTAACACCGATCTTTTTGCTATTAGTTCGCCTAGGTGGAGATAAATATTTAGGCGAGGGTCTGGTTCAAGTTTATCACGAAAAGACATGGGGCTGGATATGCAGTGAAAAATGGAATAAACAGAATGCTGATGTGCTTTGTCGAGAGTTAGGATACACAAATGCTTCTTCATCATACAGCAGTTCCGCAAACACGGTTGGTGAGGTGTGGATGAATAATGTGCAGTGTCAGGGAACTGAAAGATCGTTACTTTTCTGTGCCCATGATGGTCGGAAATCTCATAGCTGTACAAACGGTCGAGTGGCTGGCGTATTTTGTGTTGTTCCTGAAGGTAAGCGAATTTTGTAATCAGACAATTTCCAAACAAATTTCACCGACAGAAATCGATAAAATGAATTTAAGAGTGTGTCCACGAGAGCATCAGACAGTCGTGCTACATGCTATTCCACCGATTTCAATGAAACCTTGCTAGTTTAAAGGCTCTAGCCTAAATTTCACACAGACAGAATGGTCTCTGTTTTGGTCATTTCCAGGGGGAGATTGACCACCCCTAGTTTTTCCTGGTTTTCCAAGAAAATCGCTTCAAAATAGGTTGAATGTATGAAGCTCTCACTGCGATGGTATTCGGCCGAATACTTTGAGAGTTTGCATATATATATTGTTACATCCTTAATAAATATAAGACGCAAGTAGCAGTCAATTTGAATGACAGCTTATCAATCAACAGAGGCAAATAAATGACTGTGTTTTCAGACTATTCGATTCATCCAAATATTTGATAATTTTGGGGTCAAATATCTCTCCTTGCCTGAAAGCTGCAACACTAATCTTAATTCCTCTTTATAATCCATCATTTCATCTCTGAATAACTTCGAAAAAATATTTGGGCACTGGCGTATTTTTGTTTTGGATGCCTTTTAAAATCTGAGACCGTGACAAGCTTCTATCAACCACACCTGTCACGCAATTCTGGCTCTAAGCTGTCACTTGAGAAATAAACCTATATTTCATAGCTTGTTATACATGGTTATTGATTAGGAGGCTATGAAATGTAAACAACTTCTTTTTGTAGGAAGGATAATTAAATGTTAAGAGAGAGGCATGTTGACGAAATGTTGATGGGAGAATCGTAGGGTTTCTTTCTTCTGTCGTTTAATACTTTGGAGATTTGTTAAAATCAGGAAATATGGCTTTTGTGCGGCTCAAAACCTTAATTTTATAACTGGTCTATGATTTGATTGTTTACTATCATTATTGCACAGTTCACAATTAGGAAACTGCAACAGGAGAGGAGATTTTAAGTCACATGTCGCGTGCTGGATGACGAGAAACTCTTCCCCTTCGTTTGAAAGGAAATATCAATAGTTCCATCAAATGCATAAACTGCGCTATCTTTCCAGAAAATAAAACTGGAAGATGTCATTTCCACTTTCCACCATAAAGAAATACCACGCTTCAGAAACAGCCTTTGTAACGTGACTGCGTGACCTTTCTCCAAAAGTACAAAAACTTTGTTTACCTTTCTTTTTTTTTTAAGGTAACATTTCTAGAAATTTCTTAAGCCTTCTGTTATCTTATTTGCGTTCTTCTGACAGCAAATATCATCTTTATCTGCCATTATTTTTGCTGAATGTCATGGCCTTTCCTGCGTGTACGAACATAACACCCTTTCGAGTTTCATTGCGTTTTGTCTGGTTTAAATTTGTAGGTCTGGCTCAAACAGGGCAAGCAATACGGGTTCCTATGTTTCTCTTTTTTCTTTATTTGCATTTTTATTTTCTTTCTTGCATTATCATAGATGAATGGTCTTTTTTAATTCCTCAGCGCGTTCTCTCAGATTTGGAAGAAGGCTATGAAAAGTCAATGTTGACCAGAACTAAACCCTTTCTACAACTTATTGTTTCAAAGACCCCTAAAGTTTATAACTTTTTTTCGAAAGAGAATGCGTTTTTATTTGCTATTTATTGCAATTTATTGCAATTTATTGCGACAATATAATTTGAGAAAATACGAGAAAGCAACACTATTTTGGTTTTACGCACGAGAAATTCACTTTCAGCTTTTTTAGCCTGACGCTTAATTCATTCGCTGCCCTCCAAAAGCACCTTAACAAAGGCAAACAGGAAGTCAAGCTGGAAAAAGAATCTTCCTTTGACGAGATCAAGAGTAAAATAAGCAAAGGCTTGCCATTCTGTAGAGGGTGGCTACGGTTTAGGTCAGACCTCATGAAAAAATTCTGATGAACAATCCCTTGTTAGCCGGGTGGACTTTCGATAGGCCCTTTGCAAAACCAAAAAAGCAGCCGCCTTTTCTAAGAAAGCAAAGAGTTATCTCCTAGACATGTGCTGGACAGGGGAGAAAACTAGCAAGAAGGCAACCGCCTCCGATGTGGTTTCCCAAATAAAGAGTTTCAGAGCAGACACGGGCCAGAAATGTCTGAGACTAACTAAGCGGCCATATTTGCTGATTTTAGCAAAACTCCAAAGTAATAAACGACAGAAGAAAGAAACACTACGATTTTCAGATCAATATTTCTCATACATGCTTCTCTCTAAACGTAAAATTTTCCATTTTAACAGAAAATCTCGAAACTTATTTACATTTCTTAGCCTTATAGACCAATCATCTTGTATGAAGAGCTATAAAATAAAGGTTTGTTTGCTTTGCGTGACAGGTGTAGTTGAGAGAAGCTTGTAAAAAATCATTAAAATGTATGTTATCAGCAGTTTGAGCAATTCCTTACCATTTATTTACACGATGTTATTGAATTTATCCGACTAACTTCTTACTTCACAGAAAAAGTAGCCCGTTTTCTCACTATGTGCCACACAAAATCGCGATTTTGGACTTTCGATTCAGCGCGATTTAATCCAACTTCAAAGTTGGATAAAATGCACCGATTTGACGGTCGAAAATGTGCACATACACACGCATTTTACGTCTAATTTTTTTTGTTTCGCATTTTACGTCTAATCTACAGCTTATTTAACATAATATCCTTTTACCTTTCATGTTGCTCTTTCGAGGAAGAGGGCTACATTCCTGAAATTGTTGCATCGCTCACTTAAAAGCAAAATAAAAAGGTAGGATAGTCAATGCCTCCTGATCATGCTCTCAGATTTCATGATTTAATGAATCATGGTATTTTTTAAATTATTGTTTTAGGTGGTAAGGTCTAGGATCAGCAAAGGGCATAACCCATCACTGCAGATGTGCAATAGAGCATAGTGTGGTGTTAGAATATTTCTTTACTGATTTAAAAGAAGCTGTATAAGAGTCAAAACCACAACAAGAAAACCACAACTTTCACTGAAATTTTTATACAAGCTAAATGTACATTTAAACTTCTCTAGAGGCTACCATGCCTTGTGAAGTTACTCGTGCCAGTAGTAAGACTACGACCCAGATAGCACGTCCTGATATTCACGTTATCTTTCCGGGCAGTGATCCGGAAGCTTACATTTGCTTACAAAACCATTACTGCGTATCTCGAAACTCAAGAAACGACTTGAGTAATCATTGCACCAGCTGATACAGCAGACTCGAGTGCGGGTCGCTATACCTTACGTTAGGGACTTAGCGTACACGTCCCCTGAGTGCTAATTGTGCTGATATTGTATATTTTAAAAAGTGGCTTTTAAAAGAATTAACCCTGTTAGTTAGATATTTAGTAATCTTGCCCAAGAAGCTAGCCGAATGAGCAGTGATCTATCCCCCCCAAATATAGTCGGGTCCAAAGCCATCAATGAATTATATGGCAGTACATTAAAGAGCATAGATGATGCGTAATGACGAATTTAACACAAGCTGTTGTTTGATCTGACCAGAATTTTCACGCCCACTTCTAAAAGACTAACGTATAGATTTTATTAGAGGAAAACAAAGTAAACAAAACCATAGGAGATGAACTTCGTTTGTCTCACGATGGGGTCAGTTTGGGTGTTAATCGCGACGTTTCGACTGCAATACTGCCAGTCTTCATCAGGCGGTGAGGTTGATTGTTTACGTGTCGCTATTTGTAGCACGTCGGTTCGCTGCTATTGGTAACAAACGAATAAAGTTCATCTCCTACCTTAAACCACGATGAACAATAAACACATATTTTTTAACAATAAACATACCCATATTGTGCTTATCTCCTCAATCTTTCCTTCGAAGGTCAGAAATTTAAGAAGTAAATGACAACTTTTCATAGACGACACGTTAAAAAGAAACATTTCCATATTCAGCTAGAGCGGATTACAACGGTACGCTAATAATCCGTAAGATTTGCTGACAGGGCGTGGATCTTTTCCCTGGCAAGGAATTCAAGGTTTGCATTGGATATTTTAGTCCATGCATTTACTACCACACTTGTCAACTAATTCTGGCAAAATATCTATATAGGGCTGCTTTCGCTTGCTTGTTATTGAAGATACGTCCAGCTCGAGCACGGTGCAAATCTGTAATAACACGAGGGACAACCAGGATGAGAAACTGAGAGGTTTACTCAGTCAAATCTACATGGTAACCGACAACGAATATTTAAGGAGTTTAACTTGCGGGAGCGGGTCCCTAAAGGACGCACACGCTGCTAAGTGTCACAATATAACGCAGCTTATTAAAACAAATCTCCCGCAGCATCCGCACAGGAACCTTTGACAGCTTCCACTAGCCCACAATTTTACAGATGTTGTATTTGTCAAATATGATTGGATGCTGAAGAGCAAAAGTCTTAATTACTTCCTCAGTAAGCTCTTGGATGCCTCATATCTTTCAACATCTTCGCCGCAAGTGCTGAAAGTTTTTTTTCGCTGTTAACCGAGAAAACATCCTGTCATCTCCTGAGGTGCGAGGAAGTCTTCCTTTTCAAAGAAACTGGAGCTGTTGCTGTGCTCAGCTCTTCGCATTCGCACTCTTCAAAATGGTAGTGGAATCAGCCTTCTGCCCAGTGCTTTCCTTCAGTAAGATAGTTTTTCTAAGCATTGGCGAGATTCTTCCTTGGTGCTATCGCTAACTTCAGAGCCTGTTGGTGCTGGACCTTCATCCCCTGACGATATATATATATATATATATATATATATATATATATATATATATATATATATATAACTAACTCCAGACAGTACTGTTTCGGCCTTCTGGGCCTCATCAGTGCAGTGCTGATGCTAGGATGCAGGTAAGACCATATAGCCACCTCAAGTGATCTCACATATGTGGGATCATCTAAGCCATGCCAGAGTGCTCAAACTAGAAAAACTAGTGAGCATGCATAATGCTAGCAGCAATGACTCATCCTAGTAGAGTGCTCAATTTGTACATGAAAGCAAAGCTTTGTATGCCAAAGAGCTATATCTAACTGCAGACAGTACTGTTTCGGCCTATATATATATATATATCTTCATCCTCAGTTTCAGCAACTGCAGCAGCGCCATCTCCAGTTTAGCTGCGCACAATGTTATTGCCTTGTCGCACAGCGTTTCTTGTTCTAGGGTTCTAGGGCATACTTATGTTTGCCACAGTTCAGATGTCCTTTTGAGGACGAGAAATGCTGGAAAGACTTGATGTGACCCTCCTCTGGACAATAAAAGAGTCCACTTCCTTTTTCACAGGTTTCGTCGTCACTGTCATTCTCGCGTGCTGCGGCTTTGCTAATTCTGTAGTTTGTTTTGCGCTTTGTCAAGCTTTGACGGTTTGGAAAGAAACATTGGAAATCGCATTATCTGTATGCTTGTTTAACTGAGGAAGAGGGCTGCTGCTTTGTTGGCAGAAACTTCCCCAAGATTAAAATTTTACCGCAAGCCAACTCCATATGCTCTTCACCTTAGCACACCTCCTTTGGTGTATGCAACGTTATTAATAAAACTACTACTCGTCCCACTTCACTGGCGTTGAATTTGCAGTAAGTACGCTGAGGACCGCTCACAGTCATGCTGAGTCCAGCCATTCCGCCAGATCACCTATGGCTGTCATCATCTGCGATGCTGTCTCGATGTCATGGCCGGCATTGAGATTCTCATTTGATTTTCTATTTTACAACCTCGCAGTCACGAGCCTTTCTACCTTGGGGGTTTGAAAAGTTAACGCGCTTCAGATTGATTCCTTGCTTGGTCAAGTTCTTCTGTAGATGATCGGTAAGGTGTTAGCGGTTATGCTAACCAAACAAAAGTAAGAGGGCAGGAAGGTTCAAAACGTATCACAATTCAGTAATTGTAGCAAGCAGTGGTTTTAATCACCGAACTAGGTTGATCTTTCGATCTTTTTGTCTTAAAGACCGCAAAATAGGCTTGTGTTACATTCTTCATTACGCATCATCTACGCTCTATAAAGTACTGCCATATAATTCATTTTGGCTCTGGACTCGACTATATTTGAGGGGGATAGATCACTGTTTAATCGGGTTGCTTCTTGGGCAAGATTACTAAATATCTAACGAGCAGGGTTGATTCTTTTAAAACCCACTGTTTAAAATATACAATATCAGCATAATTAACGAACAGGGGACATGTATTTTACGCTAAGTCCCTGATGTAAGGAATACCAACCCTTACTCGAGTCTGCTGTATCAGCTAGTGCAATTAGTACTCTAAGAGAGTAAATTCACAAGGCATGGTAGCCTCTGGGGAAGACGAAGTGTAAATATCAATTTGGCTTGTATAAACTTTTCAGTGAAAGTTGTGGATTTGACCCTTCTACAGCTTCTTTTAAATAAACAATATTCTAACACTGCACTTTGCTCTATTGCACATCTGCAGTAATGGTATTTGCAGATCTTCAACTTTATTCACCTAAAACAATAATTTAAAAAATACCATGATTAATTTAATCATGATGCATTTAATTATGATCAGGATTAGATGATTGTTTGCTCCTGTTTCGTATATTAAAAACTTGACCTAAGTTCACGAAGCCACGTGTTTCACAGTCCAATGTTCTATTTTTGCGGAGTTGTCGCTTTCAGTAGACCTCATTTTGAATTAGCTAACGTTATTCCGCACACGAGAAACATGTTTCTCAACTAGCAACATTCCGCCTCCATTTGGTTCGCGGTTCGGTTGAATACTAATATTAAACAAAGGTCTCTTTGCAAAGACCATTACGTGAAGTAATTACACCCTCCTTTTGGACGAAATCGGAATCGAGAAACCCCGAAATACGCTTTGTAAGAGCATGATCAGGAAGCGTTGACTATCCTGCCAAGTTATTTACCTTCATGGGAACGATGCAACAATTTCAGGACTGTCGCCCTCTTCTTCAAATAGCAACATGAAATGTAAGAGGATGTTATGTGAAATAACAGCAGATTGAATGTAGAATGTGAAACAATTGAGTTTGCGCGTGTTGTGTACATTTTCGACTAATTTATGGCACCGTCGAATCGGTGCATTTTATCCAACTTTAAATTTGAGTACATCGCGCTGAATCATTTCCCCAAAAATTATTTGGAGATCGAAAAGGAATACACTTCATCTCCCAAAAGCCAGATTTTGTGTAGTACATAGTGAAAAAACGGGTTACTTTTGACTATTTTTATGTAGTAAGAAGTTGGTCGGATAAATTCAATTAGATTGTCTAAATAACTAATCAAGAATTAAGATTTTAGATATATGAAAATTCACATATTTGCACTGCGGTGGAAAGATGAAATTAGAAGATCCTCGCAGCTAAGAACACTACTGAAACTAGTAGTTGTAAGTAGGACGGGCCTGAACTTTTTTCAGGTCTTACTTACAACTACTAGTTTCATGTAGTGTACAAATAAACATCCGAGTGATCTTTCACTTATTTGTACTCAATTGTACTCAATGTATGTGAATTTTCATATATCTAAAATCTTCATTCACTCGGATGTTTATTTGTACCCAATTCATTGACCAGCTCCCAGTTAGCTTGTTAGCTCAATTGGTAGAGCGCTGCACCGGTATCGCAGAGGTCATGGGTTCAAATCCCGTACGGGCCTGAAATTTTTTCAGGTCCTACTTACAACTACTAGTTTCAGTAGTGTTCTTAGCTGCGAGGATCTTCTAATTTCATAATCAAGAATTGCTCAAATTGCTGGCAACACATATTTTAATCTTATTTTTTAAATTTGGTACTTTTTATCGTTTTTTCAATTTTTGACGCGGCGCTCCGAGATTCACCTAAATCTTTGGGCTTCAAAAGCGGCATTCTGGGGGAATTCAGTTATGATCGATTTCCTCGAAAATATATTTATATTCAGCCAAATGAAAAATGCTGTGATTTATTTCCCATTGAAACCTAGCTACTTAACTTTGAAATATGAGCGAAAATGATTTTTCGGCTGTTGCCACCAAATGTTTGACAGTTAGTAACAATCGCTCTCAACTGTCATATCGAGTAACTGTGAGATTTATGGTGAACGTTTTATATCCCATCACCAGTGCGTTTAGTTGGTGGAACTGCGACATATAAGGGCCGTGTCGAAATTTTCTTCAATGGGGCCTGGGGAACGATTTGTCACGACTTCTGGGAACTATCAGAAGCTAATGTTATCTGTCGTCAGCTGGGATTCGATGGAGGTCTACTAGCTCTTCGTAATGCTGCTTACGGGCAAGGGTCAGGAATCATATGGATGGATAATGTCAATTGTACGGGGAAGGAGGAAGCAATATCTAGGTGTAAACATAAAGGATGGAGGGTGTCAGATTGCGACCACACTCAAGATGCCAGTGTCATTTGTACTCCAAAAGGTGAGGGTTAAGTAAAGTACTAGAAAATAAATGAAGTAAGATAAAAATAGATATGGTTTTTTAAATAACAAAGAAAAGTGGTAATTGACCAAAACCGACGACGCCACATGCGAGATGCTGTTTCTGAGCCAGTGTAGATAACGTAAAGATTTATTTGATTTCATGCGTTTTCACACAGTCCGTTTGGGTAATGGCGTTTTAGCCAGTGACGGCCTCGTTCAAGTTTACCACAACAAAACATGGGGCTGGATCTGTGATCAGCATTGGGACCAAAACGACGCTGATGTTGTTTGTGGCGAGCTTGGATACTCAAACGCTCTTTCAACTTACAGCCAGCCCTTAAACAAACATGGGAATGTATGGATGAACAATGTGCACTGTGCTGGCAATGAAACATCACTGTTTTTTTGTAGACACGACGGGTGGAAAAGACATTACTGTCACAGTAGACAACTAGCCGGTGTGATATGCAAAACTCCCAAAGGTAAATAAAAGACATCTTGTAACCCTATTTCCCGCAAAAAGGATGCAATTGATGGATTTTTAATCCTTTAGGTATTAGACGAACCCAACCCCACCTTCCCCACACAAAAACCCTTTCAGCATCATACTTCTCAGCAAATGTGTTTTTGACAAATATTTCTTTGCCTTAGCAAGAAAACTAGCAATCTGTTAAACATGAGGCGAACAGGAACACAAAAGGTCTAACTTAAATCATTTATCTCTTGATTTCGTTCACGTGACAGTCAGGCTAGTTGGGGGAGCTACTTCATATCAAGGTCGAGTTGAAATATTTTACGATGGAGTCTGGGGAACAATATGCCATGATCATTGGGAAATGCCAGAAGCCAATGTAGTTTGTCGACAACTGGGATTCGAACGAGCATCAGAGGCTCTCCGTTCTGCAGCGTTTGGAGAAGGTTCAGGCGTGATTTGGATGGATAACGTAAACTGTACTGGAAGTGAGACTGCAATTACTCATTGTAAACATAACGGATGGAGAACGACGGACTGCACGCATAAGCAAGATGCCGGCGTGATTTGCACACCAAAAGGTAAAATATAATATGCAAGAAGAATAACATCAAAAAAGTGATATACTTATAATATTTGGCCATTATAACGAAAACTAAAAAAATTTTTAGACAGTTGCCCTGCACGATAACGAAGATATTTCTTTTATATGAATACAAATCAAAAACGAAAGAAAAAAGGGGACGGGATTACCTTGTAAAATTTGAAATATATTATCCAGCACAGGATAAAAAGAAACAATGGTAGGTCGATGCCTTTTCAAAGTATGCAAAACAGCAAACATTTGCAAGTGTTCTCTGCTAACAATTGGCTGATACATAACGCGTACAGCCGGCCGATCTAAAGTATTTATCGCGTTCGTTTTTTACCGTGCAGAATCGCTTAACATGTTAATTACTCTCAACATGGTGTAATGGATGAACAAATAGTTTGTCTTGCAATCAATGAACTATCTTTCAGTATCAAAAGCGCGAGAACGAAAGATTTATTCTAGTGATTTGTTCGTCAAGTCACGCAGCAAAGCCTACGACAATTAGCAGTGGCGAAGACAGAAATGGTGTTTGACGTTCGAGAACAAATAAAACTAGCCGCTTCTGCTCATTAAGGTTTGGAAAGAGGAAAAGAGGCTTAAACTGCGTTGAAACCGCTCATAACATTAACTCCGAAGGCCACAAAGGCGTTTCGGGGAAAGACTGCTGGCATTTAATCGAAATTCAGCGCAGCTGTCCGGCGGAAATGAGATACATGGTTGACTACCAAATAATCATATGATCGTAACAAGCGATCGGGATTGCTCGGAACTCTAATGTCTATTCTCTGCTTGTACATTTGATGGAGTTTTGAGTAAATTTGCATTTGTAAGGGCAAACTACAACCATCGAGAACCCGAATGGGAGCTCTGGTGCGACATAAGTAATTTATGCCATTAAGTAAGTATATGTTCTTCAAAGAAAAGCCATTCTGCGCCATGGACTCACTTAGTTGTTTGTGATGAACTGATCGACTTTTAGATTATTTAACGAACGAGCTGATGATATGAGGGTTTTGCTTCAAGAGGAATGAATCTCAAACTTACTCCTAATTAGTTCCTGTTCCTAGACCTGCTCCATCGGAACCAAAGGAGGTTAATAAAGATGCTATTTATGGCTCAGTTGGTGTAGCCCTTGCTTTCGCGGTCGTACGATTGGTAATTTTCTATCTTTGGAAATACTGGAAACGTAAGTAAAAGTGCTAATTTTAATGGAACATACCTAGGGTTGGAGATTCTCAGAAGGGATGCTTACTCGTCCGAGCTAAATTAAATTTACAGGAAAGAAACCAAAAAGGGGGTTGAGAAAGAAACGAAGGAGAGAAGAAGAGATAGGAAAAAAAGAAGAAACCAGAAGGGCTAGGCAAACGTGCATCTCGGTAGAATTTCAGATCTCCTGACATAGTAATTCCTTTGAATTTATGTTGACACCTTTAATTTCAATAAACATAGATTTCAGGTGATTATGTACAAGAAAAATTGTCCATTCATAGCAGGCATATGGATGGAATAAGGAAATTATAACCAGCAATTGATAGATGCAGCTGTTCTCTGACCTATTTCTCTAATTTTTTCTTGCAATTTTCAGGTCAAAACAGAGATCGGTAAGAACTTAAGTTGAATATCTGGCTAGTAAATAGGAAGCACGGACACATAATTATCTGTCTGTTTAATGACCCTGAGGGGGGTTTTGCAAGCTTGCATTCTTATAGCACTGGAGGTTTCTCCTAAATACACCCAAAAGTTGCGAAGTAGTCAACAGTCAGAAGATAATTATCAGCCTCGTTCGATTGCCTTGAGGGAGCTTTTTTGCAGGCACGATATTGGCTCCTAAATACACCCAAAATTTGCATTGGTCTAAAGTGAGCAGATCATCAATATATAAAATAATATCTTTTTATAGGTGTATACCTGCCTAGATTAGCAAAGACATGCTTGCTATCTTACAAGATTAACAGCCTGGTTCGTGACCTGCCACAGCTCAACTAGTGGGTAAACATTTTATGGTGGGAAGGTTGTTTTGAGTCCAAAGCGGGGGGCTTGGGAGGGCTTTCAAACACCCGCCCGCAAGAGTTTCGCTTGAAGAGGACGAAAACCTGGCCGATGAGAACGGTGCGGGGTTCATGTCTAGGCCAGCGGGTGGGAAGGGTAGGTTTTAGACTCTTGGCATTGTCACTTTTTTAAGAGAATCCAAATTTCGGCTTGTTGCCGGCTGAGCACGATTGATAAGATTTTTTGTCAGTCAGTTCTGGCTTCAAGAAAAGATCCCCATCTGTGAAGTGTTTCTAACTGCTGCTGTCTCCGATGTTTGATTTCCTTTTAGACCGCATGCGGTCCATCGGGAACAATTCTGGCCTCAAACTGTAAGTAAAATAATGAGCCAAAATGTTGTCAGCTGAATTCTGCGTGTATTCGCGTAAAATAGATATCTACGATTTTTCAAAGTTTTAGCAATTGCACTGATCTTAACTGAGTGCCAGAAGGGTGATCTATTGAAAGGTACTCAAATAAGAGTAGGCATGCAATGGTAGTTGGCCATGAATCGTACCAACAAATTGGAGCAGATTTTAATGAATTCTGCAGGTCTATTATGTACCTGGCTAAAATTAGTTGTTTTAGCTACTCATGCAAGATCCTCTCGCTGCTAATTCACAAACGAATCTATGACTTTACGACTATTCAAATGCCGGTATAAAGTCAACAAATTATCCATAAACTATGTCCTAAAACATCTTCGTAATCCCACAGTTGTTTGAGGGAGATGTCAGGGTCTTGCTGAGTGTGGCACACTTTTCTTTTAAATTACAGAATGAGGCATTTGAACTCGAAAACAGAAATGCTGATAATGTCTTGGCTCGTGACTCAGGACTTAATCCGGGAACCCGCTCATGGGAAGTGGAAAGAGAAAATGTAAACATTGAGCACGGCATTGGAGATGGTGCGTTCGGTCTAGTCGCACGGGGAACCGCGACTAACTTGCCAGGAATAAACGGAAGAATGACGGTAACCATAAAAAGGCTAAAAGGTATTCTACTTGGAACAAAATTAGTTTAGTTCTCAAGACTAGCGCATGTTTTGTCATAGATTTAAACACATATCACATTTCTGAAATGTTTGCTTAATTTTATAAAGGTCTGTCAGAGCTCGAAATTCTGAAAAAACTCGAACCTCATCCTCACGTTATCAAACTGCTGGGATGCGTCACTGTATCAGGTAAATAGAATCACGAAGCAGTTACATTACAAAAAATTTTAGATCCAACTAATGGCATACGAAAGGAAATAATGTTTTCAAATGTTTGATATTAAAATACCTTTTATCTTTTGAAATCATCTTAATTTCATGCCCCACCATTTTCGCAGATTCATCTAACATTATTTTAGTATGATGGCGGAGCTTTAAAGTTACCCATCGTTTTTTGCTCTTTCGATACGCAAAGCTCTCTTCATTGGTTATCTCCACGGCATAGATCTCTACTGAAGATGATAACATGAACCTTGTACGGGGCCTCGTTGGCTACGAGCTCGCTGGTATTCCATTCTGATCTAGGTGCCGAGGGTATTGAGGCAGACTGATTTTTTCTTTGTCCAGTCCTTGTAACAATTATGTTTCTTTGTATAGGCATCTTATTAACAATCTTTATTTCTTTAACTTAGCTAGTTAGTATTGTCCAATACATTTGAACGGATGAACATCATTCATTTTAAAGGAGAGTCCTTTTGTTTTCGTACTAATGTATTGTATTATATAAATGCTTCGTTATAAATCTTTTGCAGATCCTCTGCTTGTAATATTCGAGTATATTCCTAACGGAGATCTTTTGGGTTACTTAAAGAAGAGCCTAAATATCGACGATGATTACCACAAAGACCCGCATGTTAAGCCACAGACAAGTTTGACTACCCTGCAGTTGATGAAGTTTTCTTGGCAAATAGCTGATGGCATGGAGTATTTGTCGTCTAAGGAGGTAATCTTCTTTAAAAAAAAAAATCTAAAAGGAACAAATGATTTCGGATTCTTTTCCTACCTTAGAAACCATTTAATCTTTATTCCGTCAGTAATAAGTATGCATGTAATTTTATCGCTTTTCAAGAACTCAGAAATAAGTCGAACCGTTCAAAAATTTCTCCAATAGACTTTGCCTTTGTCGTCTGAAAACAGCTCAATAACATGAGTGCTCACGCCCTAACAGAGGGAATTATTGCTGTGTGGGGTTCTCTAATACGGCGGTTTCCTAAAAAACATACACAAAAAAACAGATACAAAACAAAACTGTAGGACTGAACGTCACAGTTATGCAAGTGGGTTGCCAGCATATTCATATGATGTGTGAAGTACAGTTCATAGTGATGTATATTTAAGTTTACTGAGGTGAAGTTTAACGTAGCGATAATTCAATTCACGAATGTGAGATTTGGATCATAATTGCTTGATTTGTTGCATCCAAGTGTAGCGAGAATGTGATGTATAACATCTTCCGGTTATATTTACCCTGGAATTATGATATCATAAATTGGAAGTTAGAGTATCTCGATGAAAAGTGATCTTACCCCTTGAGAAAGTTAAAAAGAGAGTGAACAATTAATGAAAAAAAGATAGGTTTCATGTTGAAAAAAAAAATTAAAAAACGAAATAAAAAAAAAACAAAAAAAAAACAAAAAAAAACAAGTAGTCCGCTTTGTTGCAAATTTGCAGAACCTAACTCTAGGATAGACTTCAAGGGTGAAGTAACGATAAGTTATTCTTTGCATTCTGTTTGAAAGATTATCCACCGCGACCTTGCAGCCCGCAATGTCATGGTTGGTGAGGGAGAGACATGTAAGGTAACCAACTTTGGAATGGCTCGAGACGTTGGCCGGGAAACAAAGGTATCTGGAAATCTAATTTCATACAATTACTCAAAATGATTTTACAACCTTACCCTTCGAAATTTTTTCACACATATTTTCTTTTAATTTGCTACGGATCAAAGCGAGGAGAGCAGACGAAATGGACGGCTTTTGAAGCACTCGAGAATGGACAATATACCACGAAAAGTGATGTGTAAGTAGTAAACCGTTTCACAAACTTTTCAAAGCTTGATTCTGGCTATAAATGTAATATTGTTTGTATGCGTTAAGACAGGGTCAGCATATCATCACTCATGAACAATTTCTTATTTGGTTTGTTTTCTCTAATTCAGGTGGAGTTTTGGAATTGTGCTTTACGAAATATTCACGATAGGTATGTGAGTTTGTTCGAAAAGAAATCGCTCTTAATCATCCCTCTAAGATCAAAATTAAGAAAATTGAATTAAAAAGTTTTCCTTTGAAAACTGTCGCTGGTAGGTTTTCCTTTAAAGTGTTTACCAAGAGAGAAGACAGAGAGGTTATGAGAGGCTGATGGAAAAAAAGGAACGTTGCAGACAGACTCCTCTTTAATTCCTAACCTAACATTCATTGTCCAAGTCAAAAACATGACTGGCCAAAGTCGTAAACGCCTCGTTTTAAACTACAAGATCGTCACATTAGAAGTTAAGAAAACTGATCAAATCAGTTTAATGTTTAACTTCTGCACTTAAGGTGGCTCGCCTTATCCATCTTTTGATGATCAAAACGTGACAGAACTACTTGGAGTGGGCTACAGAATGCCAAGGCCACAACATATGGATGATGCTTTGTAAGTAACTGATTATGAATTTGGAATCTCTCGATTATTTAAATTATTGTTCATCCCTTGAGTTATCCACGTGGTTTATTTATTTATTTATTTTATCGCTCTTCATGATCGATAAACTTTCCACAATACAAAAAATAAAATCCTCCCTTACAATAGATCATCAACAGCAAACAAAGATATTTAAAATATAAGTAAATCGGGAACCTTTCAATCTCATAAAACCTTTAATCCTAATTTGTAGGTACAAAATCATGCTAGATTGCTGGCAAGAGAATCCCGATAATCGTCCAACCTTTGAGAATCTTAGGAAAGACTTGAAGGAAATGGAAAATTAACATCAGGTAAAAGAAAAGCAAATGAAACTGTAATTCAAATGCTTTGGGTTTCTTTTATTTTAATTCCTTCTTTTTTTTTCTGGCAGAGGTTTATCAACATGCAGTTCTGCGACAACAAGCTCTACGAGAATTTGGATTGAGTTATTTCTCAAAAAAGAGTCGGTAGCACATCCAGCTATGAATGTAGGAGAAAAACTTTAGTTAGTCTTGCAACACTTACAACAACACGTTCTTTTTTCGGAGGGACGGACCATGTAACAAACAGATAAAACAAAAAAAATGGCCCCTACAAAATCGTTCACATTTCAAAAGTAAAAGCTGGTACCAACTAATTTGTAGCTAGTCGCCTGAGATATTTGTCCTAATTCAATGTCTTGCTATTCTCCCATTTTGATGGTAGATCTAGGCTATTTTTTTTGGAGGTTTTCTTTCTCAATATTTTTTTAAAATTATCATTGTTTATTTCTATTCATTTATTTTTTCCTTAATTGAATGGTTTTTTTATGAAACGGTGTTTTTTTGGATTAATCGATTGTAGAAAGCTTGGATAGGTTTTTCTCATAGGGAAAAGGCTGATCATAGAAAGCGAGCCTCACTCAAAGTTTTAAAATAGACATCAGATTTACATATATTTTCCTTTGTTATTTAGTTTAGATTACTGATTTTACTTTAGGGCTAATTTAAGTCCGATATTGTTTTTGATGTTACTATAATGTCACTTTTCATTTGCTCAGATATTTTGGCCTTTTATCGGTGTAAAGGCTACTTTTGAGAGAGATAACTGATTATGGAAGTTGTCGCTAAGGTCAGTTTGAGTTGATCACTGTTAGATTCGCCGCTATCTCGAATAGAGTAAAAGCGCAACATCAACTTCCAAGATTAAAAAACAAGCGCGTATGCATTTGGTAATTGAGCAGGATATTGTTGTGGAAGTTGTGGCAGCTGGGTAGTAGAGGATTGAAAAGAAGCCTTCGAGATTTAAGACTCTTCGTGCCTTCCGCTCAACGGATGGCCCCTAGAGTCCATACTATTTAAATAATACGGTCGTGCACATCGTTTATTCCCCTTAGATAATTACTGTTTTGCATTTATTTATGTTCTTAAGTCTATGCTATATCTGAGTGTCTCAATGGGGTGATGGTTCTTAGGACTACAGTTTAAAATTTTGGCCATTTTACGGCTAACGGTTAATTTTTTTTCCATTGCGATAAAAAAAGCCAATTTTCAATACCATCGACTATCCAGCTTTATGTGCAGTAATTAATGTGCTAAAGAAAGGTAAATGCGTTATGAGATACTAAAATAAAGAAGACCATGGTTCCAATTTTTTGATGACGACCTTCATTTGGCGCATTTGCATATTGAAGGGAGTTTCAAGTTGTTGCTGAACCTGCATCAGATATCATCGGATTCTTAGATAATTCTTGACATTAAGTGGGAGAGTTATAAACATGACAATTACAGCCAAATATATCACGAAAATAAACCAAGAGTTTTGTATCCCCAAATGCAGCAAACATAGAATAAGTTAAAGTGGTCACTGACCATGCGAAGACAACCATGATCGCGGTATTTCTTGGTGTAACCTTTGAGGCATGCCAATCTGCATACTGTAAGGCCAAGTATCGATCCACTACAATTCCCAAAACAGAGAAGGGAAAAACAAAAATACAAATTGTAGACACTGCAAGAGTTATCGATTGGGATCGAGTCCCTCCACATTAATTGGCAGTTTCCATACTGAAACCTTGTAATAAAAAAATCAGTGAGGTAGCAATTTTTTTTTCACGATCTTGAATCAAAGAAATAGAGAACACAAGTTGTATGACTGATTTCACCAAAAGGGACAGTTATCAGCTCTGTAACTGTCACAAACGTGATAAATTTAGACTTTAAACAAGGTGCAAAAACAACAAGTAAACAATAAGTTAATATTAAGAGGATGTTCAATTCTACATGTGCGAATGCTATATATTTTTTGCTACATCGTGTTTTTAAGTAAAAGCATTTAACACAGGAAGACATAAAACCGATTCAATCGAGTGGAAACGTGTGTATAATCTATCCAATTCACCTCCACAAGCGTGTATGTTTATATTTTCAGTCAGCGAAACCTTAGCTTCGGAAGGTGCGTGCGTGTAGCATAAAAACACTGCACTCCCATTATATTCAAGAGTCTACACATTTGGTTTTCTTTACTTGATCACTCCTACATTTAATAAGCGACTGATTTTCAGATACTTTATTTACAAGCATAAATGCACTCACCATTCTTGATTGAGGCGGCCACAGCTCCTCTTCTGACTTTTGCGCTCTATTTCAGGTTCGTCCGGTGGTTCAAATCGCGAGGGCCTGATTTCACTAACAGGTTCATGAACCCTTTCATAATGTTCACCTTACATCGAAGCCTCAAAATTCCGAATAATCAGACCCCGAAATAGAACTGCTTTCACTCGAACTACTATGCGCCGTATTTACTTTGCTTAAAGTACACATGTGTGACGGGTCACATGATCAAAATATAAGCGTTTACGGCGGATGACAGTTTTCCCGGCGAAAAAAGGCACAAAGAGGCATTCGAAGCACCTTGTATCTGTTTCTATGCGTTACCTGAGTTACCCTTCAAGTGAGGATTTCTCGATAGTCAGTCCTTTGAAACAATTTTTTATAATGATAAGATGCTCTGGGTTCACTCGCTGCGCTCACTCGTGAGTTATCGAGTTAAACACTCGAAGAGAAATCCTATATATATATATCCACGCGCGCCCACGAATTATTCCCTATTCGTGATGGAGTCTTGGTATGATTTGTGATGACTTTTGGAACCCATCTCATGCACATGTTGTTTTTAAACAGCTCGCCTTTGATGGAGCAAAGGGATCACTATTCTCTGCTGCATTTGGACATGGGACATGGGACGGGTGTAATGTGGTTTGATGACGTGGGACGTTGTGGCTTAAGAATACGGTATTCCGTTGTAGACACAAAGGATGGAGAGGGAGCAACTGTGGGCACTGGGAAGATACCAGTGTGCGTTGTGATTCCACCTGGCAAAAGACTTATTTTTAAATATCTGATATGAAAGAGAGATACAATTTCTAACTTAATTCTTCTCTTACCTATCTAGCAATGATTGCTATCCCTTGAATAGCCTTATTTAATATAAACGGAAACAGTGCATTTAAGGCGCGCTCTGATTGTTTCTCCCAGCTCCGAACCCCCTAAAATGGGTAAATACAAACTCTCTTTTGTATTTACTACACTGTTGGTAAAAACTGTTCTGAAAAGGCTCCTTTATATTTGTTTATATTACTAACCTAACGTGCACTGTCGAACGCTTTGTTTAAGACTATAACATCGTTACATTAGAAGTTAAGAAAGCTGGTCAGATCACTTTTATGTTTAACTTCTCCCTTTAGGTGGCTTTTCTTGCCCATCTTTTAATGGGCAAAAGGTGATACAACTACTTCAACAGGGCCACAGAATGCCAAGACCACGACGCAATGATAATGTTTTGTTAGTACTTGGTTATGAATTTGAATTCTACTAATTAACTTATTATACATTTCTTTAGTTACTCACGTGGTCATGATTCATGATCGATAAACTTTCAATAGTAAAAATCTTTCTTTTACAATAGATCACCAACAACACCTTATGAAACCTTTAGTCCTAATTTGCAGGCACAAAATCATGCGAGACTGCTGGCAAGAGAATCTTGATGAACGTTCAACATATGAGAAATGTCGGAATAATTTAAAGGAAATGGAACATCAACACCAGGTGGAGACAAGCAAATGCAGATGTAAATTACGTGCCTTGGGTTTGTTTGGTTGATTTTGGTCTCCTGTTTGTTCTGAAAAAGGCTTATCAACATACAGTTCTACTATAACAAGATCTACGAGAATTCAGATCGATTTACTTTTCAAAAAACGGCTTGGTGGCATATCCGGTTTGAGTCTAAGAGAAAAGCGTTGGTTGGTTCGACAGCACGTTCCTTCTCCAGAGGGACGGACCGCAAAATTAACTGATAAAACAAACAAACAAACACTAGCTATCCTACAAAGTGATTTACATTTCAAAAGTAAAAGTTGGTATCAGCCCATGTGTTACTGGTCGCTTTGTCTTGATACAATTTCTAACTATTCCTCCTATTCCTTATGTTTTTAATTATTTCCATTTATTTATCTTTTGATTTAATGGGTTCCTTATGAAACAGTGTTTTTGGTGTAATCGATTGAAGATAGGTTTACCTTGTTGACAAGAGAGCGATCATAGATCGAAGGTAAATAGACATCAAATTTACATATATTTCCCTTTGTTGTTTGGGTTAGATTACGAATGTTTTTTTAGCAGTATTTTGAATCTGTTTTTGTTTTAAGAGTTATTTTAATGTCGCTTTTCATTTCTTCAAATATTTGTCAGATTTACCGCTATCTCTGATAGAGCAAAATCGCGACATCAACTTCCAAGATTATAAAACAAGCACGTAGGGATTTGGTAATTGAGCAGGATATTATAGTGGAAGTTGTGGCAGCTGGGTAGTAGAAGACTGAAAAAAAGCCTTCGAGATTTAAGACTTTTTGTGCCTTCCGCTTAATAGATGGCCCCTAAAGTCCATACTATTTAAATAATACGGTCATGCTCATCGTTTATTCTCCTTCAACAATTACTGTTTTGCATTTATTTATGTTCTTAAATATATGCTATATCTGAGGGTCTCAATGGGGTGATGGTTCTTAGGACTGCGGTTGAAAATTTTGGCCATTTTACTGCTAACGGTTAATTTTTTTCCCTCGCGATAAAAAAAAAAAAATTACGGTTAGCTTTTTTAAGGACTAACGATTAAAATTTGACAATTTGACGGCTAATTTGTATTTGCCACTTTATGACTCACGGCAAACCCCACTGAGACCATCAAATTTACTTTATACCGACTATGCTATTTCTCTATGTTCATACTTCAGCTTAAAGTTACATTGAAGTATTCGAATACCATCTTTTATTTCTTTGTATCAAAATACCAGGTCCCATCGATTTCATTACCTTTTACCCGAGTATTTACCCTTAAGAGTCTAAAGCTTAATTAAAAAGTAATGAATATCTCAATATGAACCATATAACAAAAGTGTTAGTGTTAACTGACAGTGTAGGAAAAATACAAATAATATTTTAGTCCTGTCAAGTCTACAGCCTAGATTTGATTCACTCTCATTTTTACTCTGAAAAGATAAGTTTCAACTTAAGATCTAGAGGTTTGTTGTATCCGAATGAGGCTAATAGTCATTTCGTACGTGAGACACTGGTCGAAGTTAAATGGTGCCACTATTTTCCTCATTAGTAGCCTATGTCGCCTCGCTCACGCTCTCATTGAAAAAGGCAGTAGACGACGATCCTTATTTTAGGACGGTACGCGTTGGCATTTGCAAGGCCAGAAAAAAGCCGCACGGCCCCGTGAGATGCCAGATAAAAGTTAAAAAAAAAAAAAGAAGGAAAGAAAAGAAAGAGCGACAGAAATATGACTGACTGAGCTAGGTCGGGGACAGAGCTTTAGTTTGGATAGAAAAACAATGAAACAGAATTTGGCTCAGCAATACAAGATTGCTATGCAATATGACCACAGTGGGCTGTTTAGAATGCTTTATCTAGCTATTGTTATATTCATTAATAAAAATTTTCCTCCACGCTGTCTGTTTAACACCAAGTTTTAAACACCCAGAATATGTGACACTGCATGTCGGATCTCTTCGTTCCACCGAACGCAAATAAAAGAGTTCAATGCAGAGCTGATGTAAACAATTGTCAGTGTCATAGTAAAGCCAATTTTCAATGCCATCGACCATCCAGCTTTATGCGCAGTAACTAATGTGCTAAAGAAAGGTAAATGCGTTATGAGATAAGATACTAAAATAAAGAAGACCATGATTGCAACTTTCTGATGACGACCTACATTTGGCGTATTGATCCTATACATTTGCATATTGGAGGGAGTTTCAAGTTGTTGCTGAACCTGCATCAGATATTGTCGAATTCTTAGATAATTCTTAACATTAAGTGGAAGAGTTAAAAACATGACAATCACAGCCAAATATATCACGAAAAAAACCAAGAGTTTTGTATCCCCAAATGCAGCAAACATAGAACAAGTTAAAGTGGTCACTGACCATGCGAAAACAACCATGATCGCGGTATTTCTTGGTGTAACCTTTGAGGCATGCCAATCTGCATACTGTAAGGCCAAGTATTGATCCACTACAATTCCCAAAACAGAGAAGGAAAAAACAAAAATGCAAATTATAGACACTGAAATAGTTATCGATTGGGATATGCAATAGCCATTGGCATTTCCACGGATCTCTTCGATTTCCAAAACGATTAATGACGGTTGTGCCAGAAGCGAAACCGCGATACTGGCGCTTGCTTGAGATGCTAAGAAGATATTTGACGAAGTGTGAAGAGAAGGCTTGTAACATATCACAAAAACAACAAGTGTGTTCGATATTAATATTATCAGCAAAAATATACCGTTCAGTAATACCACGAAAATATTCAAAGCGGTGAGGACTTCACTGAAGTTATCCTTGTCGAGGGCAAAAAGCGGACAGAGCTCATGAGAGACGTCCATTCCAAATGTTTGGCAATTCTCGTTGAACTGTTTCGTGAGGCTTTCCCGACTGTCAGGGTACTTAAAAAAAAAACTGAACCTTACTTATAACCGGCACGCGAAATTACCCCCCCAGGCATGCAGATGTTTTTTGCTTTTGGAGCGGATTCGACACATGAATTATTGTTATTCTTTTAAAGACGAATTAGCTATTTTTTTTTAAAGACAAGATACTCTGAGTTCACGATAAAAATGCAAATTTAGAAGATTTACAGGAACACCTGCCTTTCAGTATTGCTCGTTGCGAAGCCAACCTTTGTCTTGTCATCAAAAAGTTGACGATAAAGACATCTGCTGCTATTTTATTGAATGCAACACGTCAGTTTTACAAGAGAGAAATGAGAGGAGATCTTGAGACAGAGTAAACGTTAAAAAGCACCCAAAGGAACTGTCTAGTAGAATAAGTGGAGACATTTCTCCTAATAGCAGCATAAAACGCCATAACTTTTTTTTTCCTTATAAAAAAGTAATGTCCGATTCCAAACGAAACACCGTGCTACAGTTTAAAAGCTGCCTTTGTTTTGCTATGAACAACAACGTCAATTTATTTTAACTTTGTGAAATGGATAGGCTTTAATGCATAGTGCAATTGGTCACTGGCCATTGAACATCACTCTACATATATAAAGGCCTTGAGAACTGACCGAAACTGTGAAGGAAAATGGACAAGACATTAGGGGATAGTTAGATGTCTATTATTACACGTCGGAAAGGATGATAAAGAGAATTAGTTAATAAATTCTGAAGTATTAGACAAAACTAAGTCACTAGGTCGTTAATTTTCCAAAGTTTTTGCCGGTAGCGTTATAAGAGCAATTTTAGGGCACGACCGGAAGCAACCGTTAAAACATTAACTTAGAGCTAGTACTACGGTGATATGAGTCTTCAAGACGAATTTTGCCATCGGGGTACACAAAATAATGAACCTGCTAATTGGGAGATGAAATAGCGGACGATCAGCGTCAAAAAACATCCTTATGGTTTTGGAAAAAGCTAGGATTTAGTGGGTGTGAGAAATAAACTAGACCAGAGATGTTTCGATTATGGAGATGACTGTTTATTTTCTTCTTGACGGTATATTTCATTAGGGAAAGCATCGTTTAGCGAAAGCCTCGGCCTCAAAGTCCTTCAAATGTTATGAGGAAAAGATAGGAAGCTCTGTAGAGAAACAATCAACCTATCGAAACAAACAGACCTATAGAGATCTCTGCGGGAGCTCACCCAGGAAAGGTTCGTCGGCTTAAGCAGCTTTATTTAATTTATGCTTTACACTGTTCAGAATTATTCAATTCGATGAAGATCGTGGACTGTTCACAATACACCTAGAGCATTATGTGATGATTCGTCCCCAGCGGACAAGCGGACAGAATGAAAATAACTTGTAGTCGGCTGGATTTATTTTCGAATGAAATCTAACGGAAAATGCGAATTGACAAACTTCGCATTTAATTTTGTCAGAATCTTGCATCAACGGGCACTAATCTCACTGCTTCGTAAAAATGATAACAAAGTAAAATATTATAAGAAATTTAATATATTAAAACGATGTTGTGGATATTATTTATTGATTAATCAATTAATATAAATAAAAATAAACATATAAGTTGCTTAAAGTTTTACTTTTATGTATGAAAAAATAGTGCTTAGGCGGAAAGGGGGCTTAAGAGGGATAAGTAATCAAAACAAAAACAAAAGGAATCAAACAAAAAACAAAGAAGAAACCAAGGCAAAACGATCTGACTTAAAATAAAAACAAAGCACCTTGGATGAGCTTACCAGCCTAGAGCATCGTAATTAACATGGACACAATGGTTCTCGTTGTCATGGCTGGTTCGTCATAAACCCTTGAGTGATGAATAAACGACTGTGAATATGATTTGAAGAGATATATAATATAGATAAAAAACATTGCATGAGGTCATGGATTCAACTCCCGTACAAGCCTGACTTTTTTTTAAGGCATTATTTTCAATATGCTATGATCGATATTCATTTATATATTTATCCGCTATTCAAAATGTTCATATATTCACCGTAATTTTCTACAATTTGGGTAAAAAGCTTGCTTAATTCAAATCGTAAATAACTTGTCCTAGTTCGACCTGAACGCGTAGTCTCAAAATGCGGAAAGTATTTGCAAGGTGTGACAAAAGTGTTGTACGGGTACGTGATGTGTTTTGCGATCACAGATTAATTATCAAATCTTTGACCAAACCAGAGTTTCACAATTTATATTGGTTAACACCTTAGTCGAGAAGCTACCTCTAACTCAACATTATACCGGTCATTATTTATCGCCTCGGGTATTCAGAGGATTTTGAGGGGATCATATAGTTTTCAGGGGGAACTAAGGAGGAATCTGTTGTCGTCAGATGAATATAAGGGGGGAGACTAAAAAATTCTCAGGAAATATTAAAGTTCTTCTTTTTTTTATGAGAAATCTATCCCGGCGTAGCCGATCTGATTGATACCTTGAAAGCATATTTGAGTCCAATTAATAGTTTACCAGAGTAGAAATGTGCTTTACGCCGGTCATGGAGCTGAGAACTACGAATTTCCTTGTACATATAATATATGCAGGTGACGAGATCGAGTTGGCAACTGTCCCGTCGCCTGCGAGCCGACACGTGCAAATGTTTCATCTCCTGTACCAGCCACTGAGCGGAACCATGATCTGTGGTTAAGTTTCCGACTCTTGGTTCCTCATTATTAATTGACTGATAAGATTACGGCGGATTTATTCCAAAGTGTCACGCAACCCGTTCACCTTCCATTCTGAGTCGAATGACCGCAATGAAACTGCTCCTCTTACTCTTCGCCGTTTCATGGATTTTGGGAAATCTTGAGAGTCACTCTTCATCAGGTATCTAGAATTCATTTAAATAGAGACAATAACACAACATGGAGCTTTTGTTGACGTTCCATGCACCATTTCGTCGGTCTCATTCACAATGCTGGATGCTAGAATCCTCACAAATAATCTGCCGACACATGTGCCGCTTAGCTCCTTATCATGCCACCTGGTCATCTTTTCTTTACACAAACCTCCGACATCTTTTAAAACTGTTTAGAAGCAAATGTATGGAAGCGGGAAGTCACTGAAAAATCAGTAATTCTCAAAACAGGCAGAGAGGGAATATTAGCATATTGCGAATCGATTCGCGATATGTTGACAGCTCTATGATAACTAGCAATTTATTAGGTATACTACTCAGCAGGTTCTAACTTGCATGATGGTATTTTTAATATGTCTGAGCATTTTCTTCAGATTTAAGCAGCCACCTTTGATTTGTGAAGTTTGAGCGGTTTAGCTGACGAAACCTTTCTGTTTCGGTTCATAATTGAATTGTTAAACGCTCGAGAGTTATGGGTGATTGATTGAAGGTCGTTATGAAACTTGGCCATATGACTTCCGTTTCCTCATCCTTTCAAACTGAGTGCAGAAATATTTTTATTTCCATTTCATAAAGAATTTGACGAGTTGTCTAGCAATATTTTTCTTCGAATACTAAGAGTTTAATTTTGTTGTTGCGAATCTCATAACGGAATCAATTTACACTTTGTTGCAAGTCGAAGGCTCAAAAGTATAATTACTTTCCTGTGTTTTTGTTTTAGTTGAAATCAGATATTGTTTCAAAGTCTGACAAGTTAAATTACTTAACTTCAAATAGATGAAAGTTATTAATAGCGACCATACGTCAGGGCTAGGAGCACATCAATCCTTCCTTTTGTGAATTAAATGAAACTCACAGCTATCGCGGTATTTCGATTCTGCTTCCGCGTCTGTTGACTTGTCGAAAGAAAAGTTTATAAAGCGACTTTTTGCGACGTAAGATTCTCGAAGCTTACCTCATAAGGCGGCTGATCTTTGATGGAACAGATAATGTTTGCGAATGAATATCCAGCGAGCGATATTCTCTAATTAATTTGTAGCTACATTTATGGTTGCTTTAGTGAGCCTATTTCGTGGGATTTTGTTCTATAACGCATTGAAATGAGGTACATTTCTATAAACTTTAGATGAAACGAAACTTTTGACACGTGTTAGCCATAATTAGAAAACAAAGAATAAAAAGATTAGAAAATGAGAAGGCCATTTAGAGGTAAAATATACTTTGATATTTGTCCTTGTATGTTATCTATTTGGAGAAAGGAACAGGCAGTCTGATATCCGATATTTGAGAGTATTCTTAGAGCAGCGGACAGTACTCTGTTTATCATCCTTCAATAATAATTCCAGGGCGCAGGACAGATACAGTTTACGATTTCATGTAACTTAAAAAAGCGTCCGTACCCGTACAGCTTCGCGCGCGCTTTTATTATGGAACATTAGACAAAAAAACCCTGTATGAAGACTCTACACGATGGCGTAAGCAGGTGCGACTCCTCTAGTAGCGAGCCAAAAGAAAAAGAAAGGAAAAAATTAAAAAAAAAAAATTATGTCACGTTACGCGCTAGGAAAGATGTCAGTTTAAGCTACTCTGTGATTCGTACATTTACTTTCATTCTCCTTTTACCTTCAGATTTGATCAGAACCGTTGAAGGAGAAGATTACAACATTACTTGTTTGCGATCAGTTAATGACACCGACGCAACAAACAGCTTCAATTTCTCTTGGCACAGATCTGGCGAAGACGATGCTATATCAAACGCAAAGCTATTAAAAATTTTGGACATTAAAAGGAACAGTTCGGGGAATTACAGCTGTACTGCAACAAACAATACCGCAAACTTGGTTCGGAATATCACAGTGATTGTGTACTGTAAGTACATATCACAGTTCTTAAATTGGGTTTAAATCATTCATTAAGTCTATTTTACATAATGTTTGTAATAATCGTTAGCTTTTTTAATGTCATTATCCGCATTATCATTAGAGTTATCATTCTTGTTATTATACAATGGACTTACTTTGAAAATTCTGTCTTGTTGAGAGGTTTCAATCAATATCCAATAACTACAGCGGATGTTGCATCCATTATGTCAATGATGTATCCTCAAACTTTTGCAAACTCAAAGCAAAATGGCTTCGTTTGGGGAATGTTTTAAAAAGATGTATTACAAAACAATTATAAATTGTTGAATTCGGTTTTCGCATGATATCATGCTCAACCTCATCGAATAATTGACTACTACAATTATCATCATCATTTTCACTTTATCTGCTTCTATCAGCATCATCATTACTATGAACCACATAGACTCAAGCGGAAACGTTACAGAAAACGAATCTTTTCCAACCAAACTGTTTTGCCATGTTAGTGCCAATCCCTCATCTAAAATACATTTGGCTCTTCCAAACGGCTCCGATATTTTATTAAGAAACAACGAAATTCTTGCACCGCAAATGCCCGCAAGACAGCATGAACAGATGCAGAAAAATCCCCGAGACGTAGATAATTTTTAAGTAATTTCTTTTTGTATTCTTCAGATAAACCTGCAATAAATAGAACAGGTCTTTTGTCTCAAATAAACTCATCCCTTTACCAAAATTCCTCACTAATCTGCCGCGCAGAAGGGAATCCGACACCGGAAATCTCATGGTCAAAAGACGGACGTGTGATATGGAATGGAACCATATCTGGGATTTTTGATATCTATCCTTCTAAGGCAGAGGAGTTTGGTAACTACACTTGTGCGGCACAGAATAAACTTGGAAAGGATGAACTACACGTTGAAGTAATACGAACAGGTCAGAGAAACTACGTACACTTGATGATACCTGACAAATACTCTGTCTGATTCTGGTAACTGAATTTACTCCTTCCAAAATAAAATTAAGTGAAACCTAAACAAAAGATCTGAAGTACATGGCCAGTTGTCACGTGTGTAATTTCTTGTGTGCAACAGGATGAACTGTCATTGAATGCAGTTGAAGATGTCATAGCGGATAGTTTACTGTGCACCATCGAATACTGTACAATGTCCTTTACCCCCTTAGTACAGGTAACAGCTGATTCCCGACTGAGGCCTGATGTTAGATGCTTGCTCGAAATTTTGATTTCTTAAACCTTTTACAAAATTTAGAGCAGTCTGTTTTACTTTAGTTTAAACCATCCTAGAGAAAACGACTCATTCATTCAGGGCCCTCTGTGCAATTACGCTGCGTATGTAATTTGTTTTATCATTCAAAATCTTCCCGTTGCAGCCTTTCCACCTGACCCACCAACCATCACAAATAAATTTTTACAACTAATCGACCCTTCTCTCACCCTTCGATGGACAAAACCTGAAGAAAATGGCAGACCAATTTTTAAATACGTGATCTGTCACCGGGTGTTGAACTCAAGTCAATGGAACGAAACAGACGTTGGAAACATCTTGAACTATAATTTCACACTGAACTGGGGCGTTTCCTATGAATTTGCTCTAATGGCCGTAAACAACCAAGGTCGGAGTAATAAAAGTAAACTGGAGACTTTCACCGTTGTACCTGGTAAGCTATGTTTTCTAACGTAGTATTCAGATGAGCGTTATGGAAGTCTTTCCACGTGTTACTCGCTCTTGAGCGAGCTGGCTTAAGTATGAACCATAACAAGGAGAAGCGTTTTGTATTCTACAACAGGACGCTTTATTCCAATGTACCTTACTACCCAGGAGTTTAAATGGATACTAGTTAATTGTTAGAGGAAGAAAATGTTGGCGAATGGCATGCATTGAACTGGCATTCCATTAGATGTCCCCAGTCGAGTCAGTCGAGGACAGAAACGGGAAAAGGCCATTGAAGCTGTGAGAATCCGAATAATTCTTACCTTGTATCAAAAACTGTTTGGGATACACTTCTTACAAAACGAGAACACTTACAAACATATTTATTATGCTCAAGCTTTTACTACTTCAATTCTGCTTTTTTCCAGAACCAACACCATCGACTGCCAAACCCACAACGATAATTCTAGGTGAGAGACTACATGTCCCCGGTCGAGTCATGGGTCAGAAACGGGAAAAGGCCATCGAAGCTCTGAGAATCCGATCAATTCTTAATAAATTAATTGTTAGCAATAGAGGAAGAAAATGTTGGCGAACGGCATGCATTGAACTAGCATTCCATTACATGTCCCCGGTCGAGTCATGGGACAGAAACGAGAAAAGGCCATTGAAGCTGTGAGAATCCGAATAATTCTTACCTTGTATTAAAAACTGTTTGAGATACACTTCTTACAAAACGAGAACACTTACCAACATATTTATTATGCTCCAGCTTTTACCACTTTAATTCTGCTTTTTCCAGAACCAATATCATCGACTACCAAACCCACAACGATAACTACAGGTGAGAGACTACACGTCCCCAGTCGAGTCATGGGACAGAAACGAGAAAAGGCCATTGAAGCTGTGAGAATCCGAATAATTCTTACCTTGTATCAAAAACTGTTTGAGATACACTTCTTACAAAACGAGAACACTTACCAACATATTTATTATGCTCCAGCTTTTACCACTTTAATTCTGCTTTTTCCAGAACCAACATCATCGACTGCCAAACCCACAACGATAACTACAGGTGAGAGACTACATGTCCCCAGTCGAGTCGTGGGACAGAAACGGGAAAAGGTCACCGAAGCTCTGAGAATCCGATCAATTCCTACCTAGTATTAAAAACGGTTTGCAATACACTTCATACAAAACGAGAACACTCACAAAAATATTTATTATGCTCTAGTTTTTACTGCTCCAATTCTGTTTTTTTTTCAGAACCAACACTATCGACTGCCAAACCCACAACGACAACTTCAGGTGAGATATACAGGTTGTATCCATTATATGCAAGCGTAGATGTGAGTTACAAGGGCCGATATGGAGACGATCTTGTGGTGTTTCTTTGACCAGGTATCGTGCATTGTCAAGATTCGAAGGGAATTCCTCCATCCCCCCTTCTTTCTCGTCAGACTGGTTGCGCAGTTCCAACGTCAATTATTATTCAATTGACTTGACGTCAATTATTGTATTAATTGCTGAGGCGGATAGCTTAGGCGGTATTCTGCCCTGCAACTGATATTCCGCGTCGTGTATACGCCAGTTTTGCGAAACAACCTCATCTATTTTAACATGATTTCCAGAGCTCGAATACGATATGGCTCATAAAATAATCCTATGGGAGCGATGGAGTTTAAATTTCCTTGCTATCTATATCGATATTCGTCACGCACCATCCGTCAAGAGTACATTCAACAGAATATATTATCCTTTGTCCAACATTAATCACAACTACGAAGACTAAATCGACCTTATCTGTATCAATTTCTGGATAGCCATAACTTGATATCTGTTCGACAGAAATTCATTGACGCCACCATTTCTCTTTTGGGGAAAGGCTTGTTATAATGAACATTTGTTTTACAGTCGAATCGAAAGTGCAACGACATAATCGAATTTCCAGATCCGAGAGTCACAAAATTGAGATGAGTTATTGCTCGTTGTATGAAACGACGATGGAAGATAGAACTGGAGCCCTGATTTTCGGGAGAAAAAGAGTCGTTGGCGTAAATGATTAAATATGTAAGGAATGGAAAAGAAAAGCCACCTTTGACAACTGAAAGTAAGATAGATACATGAAATTTTGATCATATAACTTCAAGAGCTCTGATTAAATTATGTGAATTGGCTACTTTCTTTCTTGTGTCACAGACGGCTCAAATGTCCCCTTATATGCTGCTACTGTCGGTGGCGGCGTTGGTTTTCTTGCAATTGTTATAGTGGTTGGTTGCTGTATTAAAAGAAAGCGTAATACAGGTGAGTTTACTTTGTAAATTGAACTGTACTTTGTAACATAAATTTTACCAGGTAGATGAGTATAATTTGCCCGGCACGTTTCTATGCCCGTAACTGGATGCTAAGCGTTTGATAAACATCTTTCTTCGATTTTCTTAGTCCGCTATTTCTTAGTTTTTAGCAGTTGTCACAAGTGAATCTTGGTAAAAGAAGTTTTAACAAGAGCTCTTAAGTCTTAAGTTGTGAAGGGTTTTATGAGTGGAGCCATAGTGTGCAATGTCTTTCGATTTACCTGGTTTATCCATGTACTTTTTGTCCTGTTTAGGTTACCCCCGCATGCATGTGCAAGGGGAACATGTGACGGAACTGAAGACAGCAATTGAACACGCTTATAGGAAAAGTATATCCCAGATTATAAGAAATTTTTCCTATGTCATTAAAAGGAAAAAAGTCCAATTGTGAAAATGAGCGCGCTTCGATCCTCTAAACGCCTTTCTAAACTGAGAAAATTTGTCCCCGAAAGTGGAAAGGTTTATTAAAGCATTTTCATTTTGAACCCTGCTCAAAAAACGTAGCCATTTAAGCTAATTTACCATTTCTCTTTAATCAATTTCTGCGGAGCATGCTTGAAAAACACGTTTCGAAGCAGAAAGCGTTGTTGAACGAGATAAAGGGACTTTGGTTTGTAAACTGGGGATTGGGTTTCCCGCCAGGAAAAGTATTTTAAGAAAGTGTTGGAAATACAAGGTTACTCTTTGGAGTCCCAAAAACCGATCAGTACTTCAATTTCATGTATATTTGGTAGAGATAAAAAAAGAAAAAGAAAAAGAAAAAACAAAGAGGGCAGGTTGTTTTCTTGTCTATTACTAATGATCTATACATTGATTTCATTCAGCAACTCCAATGCAAGAACTGTGTGAACTTCAGCCGCGGTTAGTTGATTAGTAATGATATAGCTGCTATGTAAGGTAATCCACGTGTCAGTGGCGAGTGATAAAATTATCGATTCCCACAAATTAACGTCAGTTAAAGAAATATAAAGAAGAGTACATGTAAGACCTGAAAGAGAGAGAAATTACGAAACGTCGGTGCTTCTTGTCCCCCCCCCCCCTCCTTCACCTAAAGATGCTAAGTAGCTTGCGGCCTCACTGGTCACTGGTTAGTAGTGGCGCCTACTGAATTGGTATGTGAGAGGAACGCGTGCAGGCCCGATCGAAGGCTGAAATCGTTTTCCCGTTTCAATTCCTGAAATTTCTGCACTTTGTTTTCCTATCAACGTGTCACTCGCTCATTCTATGAACTTTATAAGCTACTCTTGTTTTCACTTTGATGTCAAATCTCCTAATTAACATGTTCACTGTAATTTTCTTACAGCGAATTCGATCCTGAAAGGAGTCCTCGAAGGGCCGAAAGCATACCAAATACGTACAATACGGTATGAAAAAATGTCTTTATTCTCTAACTCGAAGAGCTTCTAGTGTTTAGATATGAAATAAGTTTTGGGAAGTAAGAGCGTCACAACTTCCCTTAGTTATACGCCATCCGTGAATAAGATCTGTGCTAAAACTACCCGCCACCCTTTTCCCTTCTTCCTTATCACGACTAAGTGTTCAAAACTGTTTTCATATTGATTGGAACTGAAGTACAGTCAAGAATATCTACAACAGTTGTTTTATGTTTTTGTTGCCTTATGTAGACGGGCATGTGAGGTGAGACGAGGTGAACTCAATAAAAGCAGCCTTATTTACTGCCATTGCAAACCAGCTTTGAAATTTTGACTTTACTGACGAGAATTAGCACTCTACAAGATCACGACATGACTGTTAATAGTTGTCTTGTGCACTTAAAAGCATAGAGACCGCCATGGAATAGGGGAAGTTTTGTTTTGTTTCGGTGTTTTTTCTTTTCTCGCGTTGCAGAAAACACCGAAGCTGAACTGCTGTAGCGTTTTCTTCGTATTTGAGCTTGCTCCTTTATAAATTTACCAAGTTGTCAAGCCATTTGACCATCAAAGAAATCCCAAGAATTTCGATAGCATTTACCCAACGTAGATACATTTCCTCGCCATCGATATTCTGAAAGTGAATCTAATCGAATCTGCACTTTAACTTCAGGTATTTCGCTCACAATCTTCAATCAGCAGTGAGCGAGGACAAACTACTTGCGCTGTGTATGCAAACCTTCCATGCTTAGAAGAAGAAAAGCAATGGGAATTCCCCAAGAACAAGCTTCATATAGAAAAGTATGTTGGCAAGGGTGCATTCTGCGTGGTTGCTCAAGCCCGTGCTGAAGGACTGGGAACTGTGGCTGTCAAGATTCCGAAAGGTATGACAAGAACAGTACGATCGCGCAAAATTGTGTAGAAATTGAAAGATCACGCTTATGAAATTCTTTTTTTCACTTTGGCTTGAATAAGGTTATGGGTAGATATATCTGATTTGACAGCTTTTTCAGTGCTCTCATTGCGTCCCTTTAATTCGATGCGTAGATGTATGTGCAAATTATTATAACATAGCGCGCGCTTTAGTACTGCCTAATATCTTGGAAGCTACTGTGATCTATATCTCTACCGTAAGTACGGCTGCGTACTTTCCGTCGAATTCGGCCAAGAGGTTCCAACGTTTCAGCATTGTTTTCATCGCTCAATCCCCAATCAAGATAAACCTTTTGGAGCTCAAAATAAAAATGTAATATGCTAAATAATACTCGATTCTAAAAGCAATGAACATGTAGCTCTTACGGGCAGGGATGTTGGCTTTGGAGTTCACGATACTTCATTCCCAATCGTGATAGAATTATGGCTTGAAAAGGAAAACTGAGCTAGCTGAATTCAAGCGAAACTTTGTGACCGTGGTACCCTTCTTTAGAACCTTGAATATCATCTGAAAATGTCGATATGTCCCAAAAGAATTGTTCAAAATCAGATTTTGTTTAAAAATCGTACAATTTCAGAATTTTCAACCAAGAACTACGCAGTTTTCTGGCCGTGAATTCTAGTAAACAACGATTCAAGCTGGGTAAATTAATTATGTAAGTTTTGTACATGACAGAAATTCATGTATTGTTCAATTCGGACCAAAAGATTTAGTATTTCTTTGAATGAAGCTTCTGAACATTTCTTGGTCGTTCCTGCCTTGCCTTGTATTCATAGTTTCGGGTACGCAGACTCGGATGTAACAAAATTCTTTCTTCGTGTAAAATTTGTGTCTGCAATCTGGTAAAAGAACCAATTCTTCATTGTTACGGAAGATTTACAAAATCAGAAAATCCAGTATTAGTTATTAAGTTTGGCGGCCCTCCGTGCACGACTGAAAATAAAATTTACCCCTCTACTCCACAATTTTTTTGTTTCAGAAAACTCTCCAGATTCAAACAAGGAAGACTTGTTAGCAGAATACGAACTCATGAGACAGCTTCAACATCATCCTAATATAATTCGTCTGATGGGCGCAGTGACAATGTCAGGTATGTCCACACCATATTGTGTACTATTCTTTTCCATTTAGAAGTTGCAAATCCGATTCAGTGTAAGGTGCACCCATTTGATGCTGTGAACGATCCTTTCACAGTACAGTGAAGTTACGTTACCAATTGCTTAGGAACACGGTGTTTGGGGAGTACATCTCACATGTAGGTTGTTTGGAACGAAATGCACCTATTAACCCTGATGCTCATTGATCTTCGGAGGGCACTTTTTTTGAAGGGGTGAGACAGGCGGTGGCTTAAGGGTTTGTGTACTGTACTCCGGGTCAAGAGGACCGGGTCATTTTGTTGTGTTTTAGGACGAGATATCTCAGTCTCACAGAGCTCCCACCCTTCCACTACCTCCCACATAGGTTTAAATGTGTACCGGTGAACTTTCAGGAAGGCCTGACGAAATGCTGGATGGGGGTCTGGGGAGGGGACATTGGATTAGCGCCCCATTCAAGAAGAGTCGCAGTTTTGTAGTAGCTTAATGTTGATTTACCTTCACTGCCACTTTTAAGATAATAACGCACAGGAGAACGGATATTGATCCCATTGGCTTAACTTTAACATTTCAGTAGAAATTTTGGACCATTTTTGATACTATAAGGTCATTGAAACTGTTTGAAAACCACCCCCCCCTTACCATTCACTATTTGACGACCTTTATGACAAAGTGGCAATCTTCCTCATGGCTTGTTCCGCTCGATTTCCAGATCCAGTAATGGTTCTCTTCGAGTATATACCATTTGGCGATCTTCTCGGTTACTTAAGAAGATCCAGAGGCCTCAGTGACAATTACTATAAAGATCCCGATGTTAAACCATCAAGTTCTCTTTCATCTAAACAGCTTCTTAAATTTTCTCGAGAAATTGCTGATGGTATGGCTTTCCTGTCAGCAAACAAGGTAAACAGAGTCGTAACCAATCAGTTTTGAGTCCACTTAATCGCACTTTAAAAGAGCCGAACTGCACTTTTGTGATTCTTAAGATGTAATCCAACCGTTCGAAAATTGTCTGTGAATGCATCTTTGCTGAAAACTTACCACAACGGGCCAGTGGGGCAAACGTTGAACTTCAAGAATTATATCAGGATGCAAAATTTATAAAGTTCCTTTTAGGGAATGTATAAGTTTGCCATCTTGCAAATCTGGAATTGACTCTGATTGTAGTTACATTTCCCTCAACACGTACATAATGACCTGCAAAACAGTCTTGTGATCAGTAAGATAAGCCTTACAGGAATATTCAGAACGTAACCTGATTTAATCATTACCATTACAATTTCCTCAAATGTAACTGGTGCATTAGAAGCTTTATTTTTCACTAATCACTCTGTACACAGTGTAAACAGACAGTTGGCTGTAATCGGAAACCTATAATCGGACAGTTGAAGCAGCCGATCATACTGAGCCCTTTCAGCTGAATCTACTCTTCACAATTTTGTATATCCTAGTAAAAACCGGGGAATTACCAAAATGGACGAATTTTTAACTTAAGACACTCTCTCAAATGAAGATATTTGTTCTAGACGTACCTGTTTTTTCGGAAATTTTAATGGTTATGATTAATTGGTAATTGAAATTCTTGTCGTCTAATTCTGTCTGTAAACATACTCACGATTAATCGGACTCACGCTTCGCGGTCGTCGAATTTTGTTAAGCACTCGGATGATTACAGACCAAATTGGACTCCACTCGGTCCTATTGCCATTATTAATTATGATATCGCAAGCTAAGCCGTAAGATAATGGCTATACGTAGATTGATTTTGGGTTGGAGTTTCAGTTGTCATAAACTTTGAAATGTGGAAGTTGATTTTGTTAGCATCATAAAACCAAGCTTTACTTTGACATTATAGAAGCTCTTTTTCAGATTTATAGTCTTTTAAGTAATCACTGCGAAAGCTTTATCTTGAGTACTCTAATTTGTGACCGGTGACCAAAGGTTAACCTGTTTGATTATGCGAAATCAGCGTTCTAACAACACAAGAGCAACTATAACGAAAACAAAAAACGATCAAGCGCATGTTCAATTGCGCAGGGGTCCTATTCCATTGGCTTAATTGCAAATCTCCGACAATAACATATGATCACTTGATTTTTTCCCAACTCCTTTAGATAGTTCACCGCGACTTAGCGGCCAGAAACGTACTTGTAGGCGAGGAAGAAACATGCAAAATAACAGACTTTGGGATGGCCAGAGATGTGCAAGGAGGTGATATTTATCAAAAACGGTCAAAGGTACTATCACCTGACCCTTTGGCATGGAAGGGGGTTCATCGTACTCCAAACCAAGTACACGCCCCTTTTCAACCTTCCCAAACTGTCCTCTGCGTGGTTTTGTGGCGCAAAAAAAACTGTCTGCACCCTTAATAGGCATGCAATCTAAATAGTACCAAGCATGCCCCTCAACAATTTGTTTCAATACACAAGTAAGACGATGGCCAAAATCATAAACTTAGAAAGCCCTACAACATGTTGTTTCGCTGAGCGCAACTCTAATTATGAAGCAACCTGTGGAAACATCATGAGAACATAGATTTTACCGAGCCATAGTAGGTTGTATATATATGAGTTTACCTTTTTCCAGCAATTTTTGACAAATTACCTTTTTTTTTCCTACTGTACTACAATGTTTTTATGTTTCAGGGTCGCCTCCCAGTGAAGTGGACTGCAGTGGAGGCATTGCTGTATGGTTCCTACACTACAAAGAGTGATGTGTAAGTAATTTTTTTTTTTTGATGCGGAAAGCGTTTTGCGAATATCAGATAAACCAGGGTAACAGCACTTTTAATGCAAATTATCCAATTCAAACTAGCCAGTTGAGCTACTTACATTTTCTAAGAAGCTTAAGCTCCAATGTTTTGAGGTAGGGAAGGCAGCTTGAGTTAGGAAGGTTTGCAACGTAGCTTTTTAGTCAGCACACTTATTTCTTTTAAAAAAATTGTAAAATGACGAGCTTAATCCATTTGTTTCCAAGCGCGTGTAAATTTCTTCTGTTATTCTTTCTGTTGCCGTGTGCATCTGCTCCTCTCTTCTTAAGTTCTCAGTTGTACGATTATTTCGCTTACAGCACTTCTACCAGTATGTACAAGTATGCATAAGTTGAGCATTCGTACTCTTATTTTTCAGGTGGAGCTATGGAATTGTATTGTACGAAATCTTCACCATAGGTAAGGTAGCATGTGCATTCTAAACCTATTCTGAAACTAAACAAATAGGTTCTGGGTTAGCGAACCGCGAATCACCAGAGAGAACGCATTTACTTTGTTTTGATGCTTGTTCGTTGACTTCGACTGTTATGTCTTGAAAGGAGGTCGTCCATACCCCACGGTTCCAGCTCACAACATCCCCTATAAGATAAAGGGTGGTTACAGAATGCCTAAACCTGCCCACTTAGACGATGACATGTGAGTACAAAATCCTTGTGATTTAGACATATTTTTTTTTGTGGTAGCTTTTGTAATCGTATCGTTTTACTTCAGAGCCGCTTAAAGTAACAGGGACCTTAATGTAACAAATCACAAAGGCTAAAGCAACTAAACATGGCAAAACTATCAGAGCTATTGTCGACAATTAGGTCCACAGCATTAAAAAAGAACCCCGGCCGGAGCTTATTCCAGTTAGGTTTGCCCAAACATTTTGCAGGGTGGAGAGGGAGGCACCGTGTGAGTGAAGCGTCCTGCCCAAGAACACAAAACAATGACAACCCGATTAGTCTCTAATACAAACCTCAAGCCATTCAAGAAATTCCAAAGGCGATAACATTTCTGAATTTTTTTCCAACACCTGCTTTACTTGAGCGTCACCAGCTTTCAAAAATTTCTTCGAAAACTATTTTGTTTGTGACGGAGTAATGTCATTCTGACTACACTCATGCGTGAAATTCAATTTTAAAAGTTTATTTAGGATGAGTCAGTTTTCTAGTATACGCATCCCGATTCAATCTTAACTTGTGCACCCTGAAACTAATGGTTCTACGAAAAGAACCTGTGCTTCGCCAGATACGAAAAGCCACTAAAAAAATACTCATTAGATGTGGCCAAAAAATACATGGAAACGTATTCCTCATCCAATGCAGCAGCACTACTAATCACAAAGAAAAACCTGTGATTATAACGATATCTTAAAGGGGGTTGTAATATTAAAATTACAACAAATACGAAAAAGAAAGTGGTTAAACATAAGACTGACCGACCAAAGATGACTTCGTATTCCCGCGAAACGCTTAAATAATGTGAAACTCTCATGATGCTACGCGAACCTCTCTAACGTACAGGATATTAATTTCTGACCAATTCTTTTCCATGCCACTCAAACGTCAGAATTTACATTTTGTAGCTGCTCGTTTTCTATATTTTTGGCGGCAGATTTTAAGATAATAAGTGATCTGATTTACGTTTGCATCTTCAGCTATGCGCTGATGTCTGAATGCTGGGATATGGAGCCGGACCGCCGTCCGACATTTGATTCTATTAGCAGAACAGTCAAACGGCTTGAGCACGGTCGCAAGGTGAGAATTGATGGTTCTTCTTCTTCTAAAATAGTCCTAGAGAGTGATTTAATCTAATCACGATTCCTTTCGTGTAAGTGTCTGTTGAGTAGATCTCAAACCATGGCACGAGTTATAAGCTTGGATCCGCCACAGTATTAACTCGGGCATATCAAATCGTCCAGAGACCAAGACCAGAGAAGGCTTGACGGATATTTCTAAGTGGACATACTGGCCTTTTACCAGTTTCTAATCTTTTATTATTATAATTTTTTTTTTCATTTGTTTCAGGAAATTATTTACATGAATGTTTACAACAACAATCTTTATAGTAACCTGGAGGACTGGGATGAGTAATGACAAGGATAGAGAGAGAATTCATATTGATAGAGGGAAACTTTTGTTGCACTCATTCTAAGCACTTGTACCTTGTTACTAGAAGGCTATTTTTTTTCCTGTCCTGCTTCTTTTCCTTTTTTTTTTTTCTTTTTCTTTTTGGCGAGAGTTTTTTACCATAGGTTGCGATGCTAACAGATAACTTACTCTTTTAGCTATTCATTATTTGATTTTTAAGGAATATATTATACCTGCAGTATAGTATAGTATAGGTGAGAGGGAGCGGCTACCTGGAGGTGGTGGAGTAGTGTGAGACATTTTCTTGTGGGTTCAACGTTTTAAATTTCTAAAGAACCATCGTAGCATATAGATGATACGTGATGTGCTTTTCAAACAAAAAGCATGATTCAAATTTTGCTAAGCAAAGTTAATCATGTCTGAAGCTTCTTGAGGAGCGTTCCTCGTTCTCATGAAAAGCGTTAGCTATCGTATCATGGTTGTTGGCACAATATGGCCCTTACCGCTATGGCAAAGTCGCCGTTGTAGATATGTTGAAATAGGAGAGGATGCATTGAATGATCGCCCAAAAGAAGCGTAGCTTTCAAAATAAGCAATCGTTAATAGAGACCCGACGGGAACTGAAGTGTAAATAAGTGACAAGGAAAGTAACGTTTTTCGAGTTCATTTCTTTGTAATTTCTGACATTTAACGATATGATATAACTTGCTTAGGTAAAAAAAGTACGAAACAAAGGTATGGTATCTTGGTATCTTGAATGTAAGTCCACTACACTTTTACTATACCCCACCTATGCCAAACCTGAAAATTATGACCAACCTACGTTAGCGGTGTAGCGCCCTTAACAACTGAGTCAAAAGGCCAGCCACATTCAATCGCTTCGAGGCCTTCTTAGTTTCATTTTAAATTAAAATAGACGCTAGTATTTGTGAATTTTACTACAAGAGTTACACTTGATATTTTTTGTACCCTCTGTCACCTGTTAATTGAATCAATGTATATGATGAGTTCAAATTTTAATTTCTTTTGTTCTTGGGTATTGTAATGTATGATAATGAGTTTGAAACAAAGGAAAATAAAATTTGAATCATGAATAAAATTGAACCACAACACATCCATCACTTACGCCATCAATCTAAGGGCGTCTATTCCTAACTTTAAGCGCATAGAAGCCTTCTAAGAATGCTTGCCAAACACTTTCCAATTTAAATATACTTTGAAATTAAATAATATTTTGTCTATACTGTCCCTGGTTTCATTTCGATTTGATACGTCCCAACTGAATTCAGGGCATATTAACTATGCTAGCTCTACCGAAACTTTACAATTGTAAACCTACACAGTATTTTATGACAAAAAAAAATACATGTTTGAAGGATAACATCTTTGTGCGTTCTGGAGGGCCCTTTAGAACTCACTTTGAATGATGAAAATGTGTGCCGTGTATTTAACATTCTATTACGTGCATAATTTTGTGGCTTAAATACAGTACTGGACAACAACAGCCCTGCGATATTTCCAACTGAAACATCGCTCATATATCACCGATGCATCACGACGATCGCGATAATCGGCGATTATCGTTTGCATTACACTGGCACAGTACTGTACTTAATTAAAAGAATCTCATTTCACATCATATGGCTACATTATCAGGTGTTCACTGACTTAGCAAAGAGCCCTATTTTTATACAGTGTATGCAATTTTAAAAAGCACCAAAGCCTAAGCTTCCATATCATCAACGTTCTGGTAAAGTTTGCTATCGTAGTCCTTAAGGTTGATGTAGGTCTGAAAAATGAATGCAACAGTTTGAGTTCTTGATATAGCAAAATGAAAAATGATTGACCACTGAGGTTCACAAGGCGGTAAACACTACCTTTCTTTCATAAAGACCAAAACAAAACAAGAACAAAAAGCAAATGTGCAACTGACTCTGATCCTAAGGCATGTTCATGACGAACTCTTCAATCTCAGTTCGAACGTTCCACCGCAAAAGCTTTGCATAAACAGAAATACCTAGAGAGATGGGGGTTTTGGGCCTCTCTCGAAGAGGGGTTAGGAAGACACAGGGTCAAGCCCGTTTTCGTCAATTTCTTTATCTGGAGCTCGCTTGCGATAACAAATTATTTACTTCTACGTTGAAAACAATCAAAATGCGATAACGCTATTACAAAAAGGAAGTTTTAGATACCTCTTTCTCTTTGCCCATGTCTTCCATGATCCTGCGCAGCTCTGCAAATGATGGTCGCTCCTCGGGTTTTTTATTCCAACAGGCTTTCATAATTTTATACCTAAAAAAAGAGAAAACAAGATTTAATTAATATTGATTGACTCTGACAGAGGTGAATAACGTACTTCATGGATACCGAAAAATAAGTTTATTTCTTTCAATATACCTAACAAGGGTTTGAAATTATACTCTAGACGCGCGATGTTGTTTCATCGGCTCCTCAGAGGTGAATAGTAATTGTTTTTTACTTCCGAATTAGCCAATCAGTGCACGCTAAAAGCACTATTCATTTATATGGTATATACCGACAGAAGATATGAACAAGGTAACTTCATTAGATGTGACACTGATTTATGTTTAAGTGATTCACTTACAATTGTTCATCCAAATGTGGAGGCTTGGGCATTCTGTAACCTTCTTGAAGTAAAGAGGCTAAAGATTTTCCGTCGATTTTCGGATATGGTGAACCTCCTATGAATCAAAGCTTGTTATTCAGTAATCGTCAGCATTATCTCACAACGATATTAAAAGCCAAAACCACGGTAAGCATTGTGATGTTTCTTACATATGATTGGAGTTAGGAAATTAAGACAGATTTCGCAGTAGCCAGAGTATAAGTTCGCAGAGTCGAGATTGTATGAGTTTTAAAAGTTTTTCGGAAGTCAGGAGAGTTTTGCTGGGGGTCTGGTCACTATCAAACGCCCGTGCTGAAGGTCTGGGAATGGGCATCCGCTCGCAAGCCCGTTTTATATTTTATCCATATTGCTCATTTCATTCTCGGCTTTTTTAACGAAGGTTTACACTACATCAAAGTACACTGAAATAGCAGTAAAAAAAGATGAACAAAAGGTTCGGCAGTATCAAGAAGATGCTCGCCGATTAAACTGAAAACACGTCTCACGGAAGAGTTGATTCTCACCTATGGTAAAGATTTCGTACATCACGATTCCATAGCTCCATCTGAAATTATTAAATAAAATACGTCAAAGAAGTCCGTTTTTTAAAGAGAAAAAACTTAGGAAAAGCAGTGGCATCCAGAACAGCGGTAACAAAACCAAAACTAAGCAAACAATTGTAGGTAACTTACATGTCGCTCATCGTTGTACACTTTCCATACAACAAAGATTCAAATGCAGTCCATTTTACAGGGAGACGACCCTACCAATCAAGAGACAAATGGCAAAACGTAACTTGATAACTGGTAGAATTTTACCACTCAATAACATGGAATAAATATTTTCATGAGAGAGCATCAATACCTTGAAAGGCAACTTTATGCATCACTTGCACAACCAAGAGGTTGTTAAAACCATGCGCAAAAAGTAATCTCGCTGATCAAAATAGTTTTTACCAGATGGTGCTGATCAAAAACTAAAATAAAAAGGAAATCAAAGCTAAAAGAAACGTTATTAACGAGGAAATTAGACTAATCATTATCCCTTGTAGTTTACCGTGGCTGTTCTTCTGTAGAGATCTTCTTTAAAAACATCCCTTGCCAAACCAAAATCCGTTATTTTGCAGGTCTCTCTATCACCAACTAGTACATTACGTGCTGCAAGATCGCGATGAACTATCTGCAAGAATGTTTAAAACCTGTCATAGATCAATCCAGTTAATCTTGCAAATATCAGGTGTCTCCAATATTTCAACCTTAGGCGATCTAGCGATTTTTGGGAAAACCAGGCAGGGATGATAATTCTTACGACACCGATATACACTTGGTACTTACGCTAGGCATCATGACTTAACAAATGTGGGAAAATTACAGCTCAAAATATTTAATTTCGTGAGGGAAATGGCCTAAGGTACCCTGTCAAAACTCTTATTTTCTCCAGTAGCCACAACTCTCTCTTTGGTTTGTTCCTGTAGCAAACAGGAAAGCTGTCTGGAAATTCAATCCACTCGTTTGTGTTATTCTGATAGAGTGCGATCATTCTAAGGCGTTTAAATTTCCATTTGTCTTGTTTCATATCGTACATGAAATAGTTAATCTGATCTGCCTGATCAATTCGCTCTCACTTTTGCCATAATCGTGTGGTAAGAACAACCTTTGTAAACGGGCACATTACAGTACCTTCATCGAAGCCAAGTAATCCATGCCATTCGCAATGTCCCAAGCAAAGCTGAATAATTGGTTAGAACTAAGAGAGCTTTGGGGTTTTATTTCAGTGTCGTTGTAATATGTGTCGCGGAGTCCACGGCTCTTCCTCAGAAAACCTAAGAGATCTCCATGTGGCACATACTCCGTTACAACCATGACGGGATCTTAAATAAAAAACAACGTTTAAAAAAATAAAGTTAGTTCAAACACCCCGATAAAAATATGTTTTTGAACAGGACTGTTACGACAAGATGGCTGCAAATTATTAAAGTTCCCTCTAAGCGCAGTCATCTCGGCGGAACTAATGTGGCCGGCAAAGGATTACGGCCAGCCGATTATATCAAAGAATTCCGCTTTGATAGCTTTCTCTTCTGTTTCAAATTCCTCTCTTTTCTTCTCTTTTCGATTAACCTTTTAACTCTCACGATCTTATGGTCAACTCTCCCCTCTAACATTTTTTTTCCCTTGCACATTAGTAGTGAGAAATTGATATTAGATGAGGATAAAAAAAAAAAAACTTGATAAGTTCGAGTATTCCCATCACCAGTTTGGGGGATAATGTAGGGATACTATAGGGAGAAGTTTCATGTTAATTTCTTCTGGGAGTTGAAGAGTTATTTTCTCTTCATTTTCCTCACTAGCACTACTTTTGCGCGCCTTTTGATATGTATCTTTTTTGTTATTCCCTCTTCTTTTCTACATGTAACTCTTCCTCCGGAGGTGGTTTCCGCCCGCAACAGATCAGGGAACATGACCTCTGAAAACGAGGTTGCCTAGATACAGTAGCCAAAATGCTTATCGCATACGAAGTCAAATAGGCATGGGTCGCACTTTTTCAAAATGTGTTTACTTTGCGGTTAAAATCTGTCGTCGAAAGACATTCTCAAAAGCGAATGTGTTTTTTCCAGTGCTAGAAAATTTTATTCCAATGGAAAAAAAAAACAAAAAAACAAAGGTACCTTGGTACTTGGGTTGGGCAGGTAGACTCTGGAAAAATAAAGCTAAACAAAAGAGATAACCGTGGTAACTGTCAACGCTTGTCGATGAAACTTGGTCGATTGGAAACTCGCACGTATGGTCAATTTGCGGGAATAATTTAGAACTTCGTGGTTTCGATATGAATAGTCGTCGTTTTTACTATCCCTTACACGGAGCTTAATTTTTTTTTTCTTGCTAGTTATGAAATATCCTTAGAATAACCATCGACACAACTTCAATAGGACGCATGATCGCGAATCTTTCTTCTGAGCCATAAACATGCACTTTTGTTTCTGGTCTACTTCAGTTCTTAACAGTTCACAATGATGCTAATTTTTATAACAGCCACTCAGGGAATGAGGCCGTAGAAATGTATGTAGACAATCATTTCGCTGTTGTTGCGCTGCACTAAGAGGCTGTTTCGTAAAAGTAAAAAGTTGTCATTTATGTTAAGCTCGTTAGTTGACCTGCAGATGTGATTGCTGAGGTTTGTTTCTCTAGAATATTATAAAGGTGGTTTACTAATGAACGTGAGTTGGTGCGTTTTCGACAAATTACAATATTTGCAAGATACAACGATATTTCTGAGGGGCCTTGTGCATCTGATCCATAGAGATTAAGTTCACTGGCAAACCTGATTTGGTGACACAGCCCAGCAACTGAATAACATTTTGATGCGGTTCAAGCTTCTTCATCATGTTCAGTTCAGCGAGGAGATCCTGTCTGTTTTCGTCGGTGGCATTTTCTACCATAGATCAACATAAACAACGGGTTTTTATAAATGGTTCGGGTACTAGAAAAAACTCTAATGTTCTGAAAACGTTATCGTCGAAATTGTAAAATCAAACGAGTAAGAAAAAAAAATGCAATTTACGTCCCCAAATTTCTTCCTCCATTATTAATCGAATTTACCGTGAATTAGCTCGAAGGAAGAATTTCTAAGTCTACACACTCATGCCATCTGACGTCTTCTCTCACTTGAGTTTGTTAGACCGAAAAAAACTTGCATGAAGATAAGGTAAGTTATCATCACCCATAAATCCATCAATGTCGTGAAGGTTGTTGTAGAACCACTCTTTTTAGAGGTATCAGTTAACTAAACAAACCTTTTAACATTTTGATAGCCACAACCACGTCTTCCTTGTTGTCATTTATTCCCTTTGCCATTCCTCGAGCCACTTTACCAAAAGCTCCCCTGCCAATCACCTTCACAAACACGAGATTCTCTCTGGGTAATTCCCAGTCTTTTTCGGTCGGGTTGGGAAGTATAGGAGGAATCACTGAGTATTCTTGACGGATCACTCCGTCAGAAGAACTAATTGGATCAGGAGTTCTTCCTGCGTCTGCGTCTACGTCTGCGTCTACGTCTGCGTACATGTAATTTTGAGACAGTGGGTTCTGTACAGAGAAAGTACAACACACCACGACTTAGTCTGGTCATCGATCATAGCTTGAGAGGAGGTGTGGGGGGGAGGGGGGGGGGTGAGGACGGAGGATTTTGGCTCGTCGTAATAAAACTTACCCGATGCCTCAACAAGGCTCCTTCCCCCTGATTGGCAGTCAATAAAACATAGTCCTACTACGTGTAAACAAGTCTATAAGAGATAACTGTCCTCCCCCCCCGTTCCCCTTGAAAACCAAGGCCCTTCGACACCATCTATTTTCGTGGCGAGAAAAACGAAAGTCTTGCCATTAATTCATATACAAGTATAATTTGCAATGTAAATTGTTCAGAGGAACGTGCTTGATATCATCCTGTGAACTTTCTTAGGGGACATCCTCCCGAAAAAAAAGATAAATCTTATCCTATTCTTACCATTTCAACCATATTCGTATCCAGTCTAGCTCTTTCATTTTTGCTAGAAGAGAAGAGAAGAGATAACAACATACTTGACATCGTATTCCTGCAAACAACATAGTCTATCAGGTCAATCAGAGTGGTTGAAACGGAACAGAAATGTGACTAAAATAGGATTGTAAATACTGAATTAGAGTGACTAGAAGCGTGCTGAATATCAGGAGAAGTAACCAAGCCATTCATGTAAAACCTTGGTAACGTTATGAATGACAGTTTAAGACAGAAGTCACCAAATTAAAATCGCCGGCAAACTTGCCAATGGAAGATGGGACACCACGGTGAGAAAACCGACACAGGCGTAATACTTACTTCCTATTGGTACGAGCCACTGTTGAGAAAAAAAATAAGATAGAGATTGTCAGTTCATTTAAATCATTAATCTTTTCCTTGTAAGTTATCATTTGTCAGTCTTAAGATATATGTTGCATCACATATATATCGCATAGGGTGGGGACGGAATCAAACTCCCATGAAAGAAATGGGAAACAGTTTTATCAACAGTCTTAACCCCCAACCCACCCCCCCCCCCCCTTTGTCCCTTTCCAACACCCTGTTCCTCCAAATCCAAAATCCAAGCCACTGACCTACTTTAGCCAAACGGTTTTTACGAGGGAAGGTGTACGAGCTCACCTCTTTTTCTACGCGTCAGGAAAAAGTAGACAACAACTAGTATAATTAGGATCAGGACCACGGCAACAAAGGCCAGATATACTGGATGCGTATTAATCGTGTCGTCATCAGCAGTACCGTCAGCTGTGGGGGATACGTCTGTAATGGGTCTCGCTTAAGAGATGAATAGACCGAAATAGCATGGATTAGTTATGATCGATATATCTATGAGATGACGTTGATGTTGAAAGAACACATGCATGTTACAATTTCTCTCAGTGGCACCTATGAGGAGAACAACACTGTTAAAGGAAAAAAAAAGCATAATATAAATATGTGAGTTTTTCCTTCTTTTATATGTTTCTTAGCCTTCAGTTAATCATGCATAAGCTACAATTGGCAAAGTTGGAAGTAAGAAAACTTCAATGAAGAACTTTGTTCTGAATGATAAATCAAGTTTGAGCAAAGTGCTATTTTCCATAGAGGGAGATGAATTGAGGGAAAAAACGACGTCATTTCACAGGACGAATGCTCTTATTTCAGTGCCTTTAGGCAAAACGGAAAGCATCCCTAAAGGTTGACTTAAGCTTTAGGCGTCTTTAATTGTAAACCGAAATATTCAAAAGCTAACAGTTACCTTTCATGAATCTTTAATTGAACATAAGGTGAACTTTAATAACGTAAATCTTTTAGCATCCTTTAAGTGGTCTCTTTTTTGTCACAAAAGAAGGTTTTTAATTAATATACATTTAATTAACCTTTGAGGTGAGAATTAAACGAGTCTCGCTGTTTTGACATCTTTAATTGACGCACTAAAGATAGTCTAATTGTAATCTGAACTGTCAATAGGAAATGCATCACAAATTAGCCAGCACTTGCGTCGGACAGGAATAGCAAATTTTGTTCCATGTGCAGCAGCAAATTTTGTCAAAATATCTGAATTGAAAGCAACGGGTTTTCATTTTCGCATCTCCTTTATAGAACGCATGGAGTGCGATGACAAGAAAGGATATATTTATTGCGCTCATTGTAATGACTTCGTGTCACGTTCAACTTTCGAAAGGCATGAGCGAAAACGTAACAAGTCGAACTTGACAGATACTTTTGGGTCGACTTCAAATTCCCGTGATTTGTTTCAAGAAATTTCAAGTAAAGGGAGCATCGTATTAGAAATAGTAAGTATCTTTACACAGAGGAAAGTCCTAATTGCTCATATGTGGTAATAAGAATGTTCGACTGTATTTCTAAACTTCAGCTGGTTACTAAGTAAATATCCAATAATTTCATACAGTTAAGATTACTTTTAGATTAACTGTGATCTCCCTCAAAAGACTCCACTTAAGGTTCCAGCTTCCATCTTTTATGAACAAGTAGATTCTGTAGTATGCTTTCCAGTACAAGTAAGTAGTAAGTAAGTAGTATGCTTTCCAGTACAAAAGGGAACAAACTGTGACCTTGGCAAGGTATAGTCAGTTTATAATTACATTCTATTACAATAAAGTGAAATGAGGCCTTTGTTTCAGTTGGAAGCCCAACACGTGGAGTTCCCAACCCTTTTACTTCATGGACTGGTCAATAAGCAACTCTCCCTAACACACTAGCAATACATCAATATTCTCACAAATATATCAAAAAAACTGTATGGAAGGCATTTAGAAAAATAATATTGAGATCTTAGGGGGTGAAATGGGTAGATAGGGGCACATAGTATACAAGTTAAAATATTGTTTTCTGAAATTCATCTGTGAACAGGTAGATTCATAATAACAAATGAAATATTCTTCAGATTAAAAGACTGCGACTCCAGAGAGTCTGTGTATGCATGCATTAACCTAAATATTACACAGCATCATTCAACATTCCAAATTTCAGATTCTGTTAAATGTACTTCAAAGCCTTGAAAAATAAAATGAATGAGCATTGCGACAAGGAGCCTTTTTAAAGTCTTTTGTTAAAACAAAAGACTTCATACATACAGTGTATTAAAAGAACAATTATAGGAAAGAACCTAAATTGACCAGAGATTAAGACTGTCTCAAAAAAATTACTCAGAAAGTTGTCAATTGCAGTCTGTACCGAACTCCAAAAACAATACTAAATAAAATAAAATGGAACAAAATATCTAGATTTAGAGAAATGAATGTGGTCATAACCTATCCACATCTTCCTGAGGCCTGGCAATATATGAACTTTGACCTTTGCAGCCTATGCTAGGTATTGAGATTCCACTAACTAAAACCCTGACATTCTTAAAACCTTACAACAAGTATGTATGTAGAGAGAGTCTCAAACAAAAAATGACAATAAAGAGAGAGAGAGTTTGTTCTTGAAAGAGTTGAATGTCTATACCCTCTTACATCTTCCTGGAGCCTGGCAATATATGGATTTTGACATTTGCAGCTTGTGCTAGGCATTGAGATTCCACGTACTGAAAAACTTGACATTTTTAAAACCTTACAACCAGTATGTATGAGAGATAACTGATTTTTGACTGATATAACATATCATGATATCATAATATAAATGTGGGTGTGATTAAGCAAATCAAAAGTCAATTTAAGGTGAAACCTACAGCTTTTAGAGGCACTTAAAGGTCACTAAATGATGAATTTTTACAAAACTTGAAATTTAAGAGGACCTGAAAGTACAACTAAAGATGAATTACAACAAAACCTGCAACTTTAAGTAGTACTTAAAGGGAAACAAAAGATTAAAGAAACCTTTAAGTTGCCTTTACAAGTAGAAGTTTTGGCAATTAAAGACGAGTTTACGAGAATTAGGAGGATTCTTAAAGTCAATTAAATGGTTATTTAGGTTTACTTTCATGTGATCCTAAAGTGTTCATGAAATGGTTCATAAGGAGACTTTAATTGACTTCTGAAAGTTCAATTAAAGATTCATTTCAGAACTTTCGTATGTCACCTAAAGATGTCTTAAATACTTCTAATGTTAACCTTTAAGTTACCTTTAAGGAAACTTAATTTAGTCATTTCATCCTGTGATTTATAAACGAGCGAAATTACTCAGTGCACCAAAATCTGTAACTGCACGCTAAATTAGCGTGTCATGTGGATACCATGCATATGAGTATAGACGACAATACAATACCAATAACACTTATTAGGCTCAACAGTTGTATATGTAGACTACTTGAAGTATTTTGTAACAGTGCCACGAGGGAAAGCGAGGACGGGGATGATGCAACACCCTGAGTAATTAGTCTGCCTCCTTCAGCCCGATGTCTCATCGGCATGAACTCTTCCGATCAGAACTCTGGCTCTGCATCAAAAGGACTACGGAGTGCTCAGACTACAGACTTAGCTTAATGAGAAAAACAGTCGTCTACCTGATACTTCCAGTATTGTGGAATTTGAAATTGTCGCGTCTCCAAACGTCAACTTACAACCATATCGCCCGGTGTCATCCACTTTAACGTCAATGAAAGTAAGGGAGGCTTTGCTCGTCACATACACACGGCCTTTGTAATTCGATGATAAATACTCCACTGGCTTATTCCCATGCTGTTGAGCTATGATGGTTTCCAAGGTTCCTTCCAAGGTTATAGTCCCCCACTGAGCAAGACTCAGTGTGTGAAAGCCAGAATGATATTCCCAATGTAGTGTGATGTTATCGCCATCTTGAGCTTGAATTGGACTGACTGGGGTCAGTACAAAAACTTGCGCATCTAAAAAAAAAGAATCAATTCATGAGACATTCCACTTTTAAAGTAGTTATTCAGTATACGTTATAACTGGAAATTGAATGATCTATTTTGGTCAGAGAGAGGGGTAGGAATGCACTCAGCGACTGTTTGGTGCTAACTGGTGATATTGCATGAGTTTTTATCGAATTAATTTTATTTATCCAAGTTTTCTAAGAAGCATATCGCACGGCATATGCAGCTAATCCGATTTATCGACAATAAAACCTTTCTTGGTTTCTAATGTCGGTCAGTTTATTCGGTTTTTATGCCTTTATAACTTTCCCAGTAGACTCTTTTCCAATTTCGTAAAAATGAACCCACACAGACGGGAGGAAGAAAAAGGAATGTGTCTTTCATTGAACAACTACTGCTCCATATTTTGTTTTTCTCTCTAGAGAAACCATCGTTTACTCTTTCCTTAACACTCTTGATAGATTGTTCATGTCACATTCTTAGCAATTGTTCCTCCCCCAGAGGAATTGGTTAGGAGGGTCTGAGAAGCAAAACGAAATATTACTTATGGCTAAACTACAAGCAAAAGTATGGAAAATAATGCTTGATAATGATATCGGCCCTACCGGGCTCTTCGGAGTTAGTTCAGCGTAATTATTGTCATGATCAATATCCCCAGGCAATTCTAAATCGTTGCGTGACACACTAATTTCAACATGTTGGCCACCGTGCAGCGTTCATACACCTTTTTTTAATTCAGAGCTGATGATAACACATTACAAATTGCTCCATAAAATTTGCCACGTACATTGCAAAGATACGTTCACCTCGACTAAACATATGGCCAAGAAAAACTTTAGAAGGGAAGCATTTGTTCAAGCTGTAGTTTTTCTTTTTCTTTTTTTTTGTACCGACACCAGAATTTTGTATTTCGCAAGAGTCGATGATAGCAGAAGAATAACTGTATGAAGTATTATTTCTATTTATATTATTAAAAGATGAGCGAGGCTTCTTATGCGGGAATTCTAATCGTTATGAATATTTTCTTATGCATCAAGGTGTAAAATCCTAAAGGGTTGGATAAACACGACGATTGCTGAATAAATAAAACTCGATACGTTCGCACCGCGGAAAGATATTTTTATATTATGGCGTCCAGTGGTGTTATTTCGTTGTTGAAGTTCTATTTTAATGTACATCGACGACCATAAAGGACAAACAAATATGACTCGCCTCACTGAGTGCCGTGAATGCAGTTCATATATTTTGTCAGTGCACTGTAGGATTCTAATTTGTTAAGTCGCGCCAAGCTTCTTATAATGACTTTTGAAATTGATGAACAGATCAAGCGCTTCGATAAGATCCAGCTAACCGACGCCAACCAACACTATGATTAAGCCTTTATGGCACGCAGACACAGAATAAATACATTTTTTACCTCACGAAAATTGCGGTATTCTATTGAGTTGAGAACGCTGCACTAGAACTTTCGAAACTGTTCAATAGCAGTTTATCACCAGGTTTCGTAACCTAACGGTTCAAACCAGAAGTTCTTACCTGAGATCATAATGAGAAATACGCTTGCAATAAACAGCATGGAGAACTCCATTCGTAAGACAAAGTTCTGACACTGCAGCAGTAAATATCTAAGTTCCGCACTCCATCCGCAGCTTGAAAATTAATGCGGACGTGCCGATTGTAACTTGTATGTTCTCAAGTGATGTTTTTGTTGAACGTGAGCTCACATCCGGTGACAAAAACGAAAACCTTTCGTTACAAGTTATATATTGACCAACATATCCAGTAAACGCCGATGAGATAGAAAACAGTAATCGACTAAATAACGAGGCCAAGTATTTTGTTTTGTTTATGACGTGAGTCACAAAGTGAAACTCGTCACGGCTGGCCGGAGAGCGGATATGAATATTCAAATTGAGTTTAACAAGTGATATTTACGTCGTTCAAAGATACGCTCATGGTCATCCCGAACGCGAAAGGCAAATATAAAAATTTGCAATGAAAAATACAGATGAATAAGCGAACCGAGGAAGTTTTATGAGCTGGTCTGAGGATGTGGAGGGACAAATACGGTGAAATTAGATTGATTAACCATCATCGGCAGCAAGTTCATATTAGACCTGGATTGTTCCATCACAGTTCCATAGAATTTGCAAAACATGATCCGAGGAGGTGGTTTTTCGGTAAGCAGATGACGCACAGGTTTATTGAAGAGAGGAAAAAAATGTTTGAAGTTATTTTTATGTATTTAAATCGCCGGTGTAGAACTCTGAAGTGCAAGTAGCGGCAAATTACCACACTTCATTTACCGCTCAGTGTAAAGTTCTCACTTGTTTCAAAAGTACTTGTTTGAAGAATTTAATCATGCTATTCATAATTTATTGTTATCATTTGCCTTTGTTGTTATTGTTTAGTATTCACGTTCATCAAAGAAAGACACGGAAAAATTAATTTCACATTTTCAAAATTGAAGTGAGGCGGAAAATTATGGTGTTATCAAATTCATTTCTTGAAGCGCAGTTTACATATACGATTTTCATATATTTACAGTAAGTGATTCATTACTTTACTGGTTTGTTACGAGCCAACATAATGACCAGCTCCCAGAGTTGGCTTGGTAGCTCAGTTGTCAGAGTACTGCACCGGTATCGCAGACGTCACGGGTTCAAAACCCGTACGCTTTCAAACTCATTTCTTAAGCTGCAGTCCACATATATGATTTTCATATATTTACAGCCAATTTTATTCATTTTCCATTAAGAGAGTTGGCCTAATGACCCATAATGAAAAGACGGGCTTCTGTAAAGAGTCTCTGGACTGTTTCTTGATTTGATTTTCTGAGTTCAGCAGTGCATGGTTATTTTGATTCAGTTCTTAATGTTTGGAAAATTCTCTCAAATTTGGATTAGTTGCATTCTTCATGAGACAGTGGGTAGTTCATCCCGTCTAAACCATGGAAAGAAACGGACAATAGTTTCTAGAAGCACATTTATTAGGCCTCAACTAATGGCTTTCCATGACAATTAGTATCAAGCACGAAGTTTCTCCTTTTTAAGCTGGTTATGAGCAGTTTAATAGATTCCCGATCACCCCTTTATTCCCTTTTGCTTGAAGCCACAGACTCTGGTGTCACGACGGAACTCTCTCACTTTCTTAGTTGGTACCACAGTAACGCAAATGGCACTGGTGCTCCCGGGGCGTTCCATCGATGTAGTAAATGTAGAAATCGCCACAATTCATCACTTGGATATCGATCGACCAGGTACAGCAATTACTCCACGAGAAACAGACCTTCCTGGTGACTTTACCCTCTTCCACTGAAGGATGATCGCCGCTCAACCACCCAGTAGCGTGGGTACCGCACCTGGATGTTTGCGGGCAAGATGAAAGCATTTTAACCCCGGCCGCTCCTTGGAAGCGATACCAGTTCGGCGTGAGATGGTTATCGCATAAGAGTGGATTTGCGCCATGGTTAACATTCCTGCTTGCATCTGCCAGAACTTGATAGTTCTGACATTCTACAGTACGGGACAGAAACAAGCTTCCAATTAGTTCAACAAAGCTATACGTACTCTGCATTATTTCATGAACAATTTCAGACTTGTCCTGTTTGTTAAATGGGCATCAACGATGTACAAATGCTATTGTTGTTGTTAAGCGACCATTTTTTAGAAGAGACTCGACCCTATCATTTCTTTTCTTACGCTTCACTAGGAAAAACGTTCACCGAAACAGTTTACAGAGAAGAAAGGAAGCCGGCACAATATAATCGTTTCTTATTTGAGGTCCTGAATACATTTCCAACTGTAACAAACAATAGCTAGCTTTTTCTCTTTTCATCAATTGTATCTCCTTCTTTGTGTTGTTAGCTCATAGAAATTGGGATTAAATCATGTCAGCTGTTTATACGCCCAGTTGTTCGAAGGCTGATTAGCACTAACCTAGGGGTAAATTTTGATCAGAGTTTCTTTATTCCTTTCTTCAAAGACAACTTACTCTATTCTTTTGGAGCATCCAATCAACCAATTGTAGATAAAAAGAATAATGCTGAGTTTTCTTTTAAAGCTTTCAGATCTTAAATATGATTTTATACTAACCCTAGGTTATCTTAACCCATCCTTGACCAACCCGGTCCAGAATGCTAATTTCCTGAGATTAAAATGTTAAAAAAAAGCTTCAAGGAAATAAAATTCAGACTGCTTTCGTCTTACCTGATGGCATTGGAGCTTCTGTCGGGGGAGGTGGAGCTGGAGTCCTATTTTCCAAAGCTTCAACTCTCACCAACAGCTCTTCAATCACGGAGCAGGCTATCAAAGGACGGGAAAAACTTTAAAAAACGTTTAAGAGTCAATATACGAAACTTTCTTCCTCAATTTTACCCAAACAGCTCAAAAGTGCAAAGAGAACATTACATGGCCGCCCATGGATACAATTTTTTATCTACTAATTTTGATGCTATATTTCACGAGTGAGCTTCTCTCACGGGTGACACGTAAAGATAGATTCGAATCTGAAAGGAAGACATGTACTGTTCTGTTTATTATAAAAATATAATTTTCATTAAAATCAAAGACAAATTTCAAGCACATATTAAGAGCAAATAACGCAGATAATGTATGCATGTAAACCACATCGGCTATTAAGCTACTATAACCTCCGACATAAAAATGAGATTTATAGGCTCTTATCCCAAGAATATTGCCTCTCGTAGAAAAAGTTGAACTAAACCCTGGCATTGTTCGTGAATTTAAAAAAACCCTTTGTGAAAACAAGACAGTTATTTAGATATACTAGGTTTCCATGCAGGACGACATTTTTATCTTTACCTATGGACGTGAATACATAAAAGTATGCTCACTGAAAGTACGTTGGCGGATGTTATCTTTTGGAAAAAGGAGATATTTTTGTATCTCATCAACATCTACATGATAAAGTACTCTGTGATAGATATTTCATCGCCATCACATTGAATATGATAGATCAAGAATTGTTAGTATTATAAACATTTCACAACTTTCTACAAGTTTTAAATGTTACGTTGGCACTCTTCCAATGCTTTCACCCTGGCTTGCAGCTGTTTCAGTTTCTTTCCTCCACCCACGACAGGTTTGCTTCCTTGTATTAAAATGAACACAAGCAGCGAGGCAACAAAAGTGGATCTCATTTTGGACTGGACTTTAATCTGTGGAGTAGATACAATAAGTCTCAAGAACATTTTTATTCCCATGTCAGCCTCTCTTCCGATTTATTTTCTTTCACATCCTTTCTCGTTGAGGAAAAAAAGAGAAAAAAAAAGCAACGAAAACATTTATGGGTACGTAATGACACATTTGGTATTTGCTCCAAAAAAGTTCTCTCATCGTCGACCAAAGTTCTGAATTGATAAGGTTCCCACCTCTAAATCATTTAATTTTTTGCTCGCTTAATTTTCCTTCAGGAGCATTGTTCATTACAACTCGAATATGAATTCACAGAGTATAAACAACGTAAAGGAGCGATGCTTACGGAAGCAGCGGAAACAATGTGAATCTGCAACTTGCCAGTCAATATAGGATCGTCTCCAAGTAAACACAAATTTATGACTTTTCCTCGAGCTTTCTTTAGATCGCAACTCATTACTATAATTCATTAAAAAGAAACGAACGAAACCGATTATGAATTTCTTCAAAAATGGAGGCAGATCGTGACGAACGTGAGAAACGAGAAAATTAATTTTCGGGTCAAAAGTGGAGCTTGTGTTGGTTGTACAATTTGGATTCGGGCGAACTACGCATCCAGTACCAAGTATTTCGACACGGTAGACAATTTTGCACATTTTCAGTTTTTGATAATTTGCCGCCATAACGGCGCATCGTTAGAATCTAGCAGAATTTGCGGTCATGATCATTCCAAAACCGCAGTATATGCCGCCAAATAACGCGACGCCGTAGACCACCTGCACCATTTCTGATATCTGAAAACTTTTTCTTTTTTCAGCGCACATAGATTGAACTCTTCAGTATATTTTTTAGGTCAAGGAAACTGTAAGAAGCATGTTGCCTAAAAACTCGAGATGCGAACTTACCTGGGATGTTGTAAAGAACACAGTGTCTATCAACAGGATAAGAAAGATTGTGTGCCCAAACGAATTCGACTACATATATGGTTAGCTGTTCAGGTCATGAACAATTAAAGTAGCCAATTACACTGAAGTGTCTACATGTGATGATAGACGTCTTTGTTTTAATGATCATCACAACCTAGACGACAACGTTACCTTCAAAAGAACTCGATGCAAGTGGGGGTTGTTTTGGGTGGAAAATAGTCAACACCAACGTGCGGTATAATTACACAATTTTACCTTTTATTTTGATGTTTCACTTGCTTCATTTTCCTTACCTTCTTAACAAATAAAATATCCTTTTTTTCTTACGGCCCTTCAAGCTTTGAGGGAAAACAAACACTGTATAGTCATTTAAGCAGAGAGGGGGGCTGCTCAATCCACTTAAACATCGTAATATTAAAAAATGAAAAAAAAGGAAGACGGCCGGCCCTAGATAGATGATAGATTTTCTTACTTTAATAATCATCACAACCTAGACAACGGCGTGACCTTCAAAAGAACTCGATGCAAGTGGGGTTGTTTTGGGTGGAAAATAGTCAACACCAACATGGGGTATATTTACACAATTTTACCTCTTTTTGTTATTTCATTTCCTTCATCTTCCTTACCTTCCTAACACATAAAATATCCTTTTTCTCTCACGGTCCTTCAAGCTTGGAGGGAAAACAAACACTTTAGAGTCATTCAAGTAGAGAAGGGGGCTGTTCAATCCATTTAAAGTTCGTCAAATTAAAAAATTAAAAAATA